CCGCAATCCAGAATAACATCTTGCTCGTAAACAACTCATAAAACAAGCACCCAAGCGCCCAAATATCACACGACGCATTCACTGGGATCTCCGATTGCAAGTCCATCTTTAGCATTTCAGGTGGTTTAATCGACTCGGTTCCTCGATGTCTTGTCGCGTTCGCTTCCTTATCGTTTCTGTACACACAGGCCTCCCCAAAGTCCGCAAGGCACAATCTGAATGGCGGAATTTCTGTTTGCGGGTTCGTTACAGCGTCCAGAGATACACCAGGAAGTGGCTCAATCAAGAAGTTCTCGCACTTGATGTCGTAGTGGATAATTCGTTGGTTCAGTACTTGGCACACTCTTAGAACCTCTTTGTAAATGTTCAGTAATAAGTGTATCCTCACGTTCGAATTCGATGGCGGCAAATTTCTCCTCCACGATCCCAAAGACGACAAGTATTGATACAGAACGATGTTATAATACCCATCAGAATATCCATATTCAAACATATGCGAAACACGTTGATCTCGGCAATACCTCTCCAGTATCAAAATTTCATTAAAGATATCGTGCAACACACTTCTTGCTTTCGGAGACTCCGACACTTTGATTTGTTTGATAACCACGTGGTTCAGTGTAACTTCACTCCCATACTTGACTAACGCTTCAGAACACACACCATACGCCCCCTCCCCAATAACTTTAATAACTGAGTACTTCGTCTCATCAAAAAATTGTCTCGACAGAAGGCGTAGAAGTTCTCGAATACCATCGTTCTGTTGGACTTGACAAAAAAGTTCCTTTGCAATGTGTGCATTAAGGGGGTGGTCCAAGTGACACGTCAATATGAACAAGCAGTTTTTCATCCCTTTCAAGTCTGGGAACTGATCGGTATACATCGGGTCCAACACTCCGTTTTCCATGACTATCAAATTCAAAAGCAACAGTACAATCTGTTTGTGGACCTCCTCGTTCATATATATTCGTCTCACCTTTCTCATGCTCTCCAGTGAATTCTCATCAACTTTTTGTTCTTTCTTTCCTCCTTCCAACATCATTTTATCCAAAATCAAATGGAGCTTCCCCGTCTGTTTAAACTTCTTTTCAACTTGCGTCAATGGACCACTTTGTTTTGCTGGATTCGTGTTAGTCGGGTCGGGTGATGTCGATTCTGAGATGGAGTCTGCCTTTTGTTGTCCGATGGTCATATTAGAAATGGGAACCATTTTTAAAGGGGGTGGTCGTCTTTTCTTCACTATGGGTTTGACAAAGACGGGTTCTTTCGCTTTCGACCCTTCATTCACGGGAGCCTTTTCCTTATTCTCTTCACTCTCTTTCCCTTTCCCCTTCTCCGTTTCTTGTATTTTATCACTTTCACTACCAATTTTATCTCCCAACATCTCTTTCCCCACTTTTATAACTTTATCTTCTTTAGAACTCACAGTTTCACTTCCCTTCTTTTCACTCGCTTTCATATCTTCCTTCCCAAACATACAGGAACTCCTTAAGTCGTTCATCTCGTTCGACTTCTCCGATGTCACAGAAGGTGCTGGCGATTGCTCAGGCGTTTTCGGTGTTGTCGAGCTCGCGTCGTCCTTTTCAATCCCAATCTCCGCTCCAACTTCCAGTGATGTTCTCAGACTTGATTTGCTCGACCCGGAGTTATCTGGTGAATTGCATGGAACATTAGTTTTAGAAAATGACAGTCTTTTCGGCGTTTTAGACTCTTTCAAAATTATAGGAGGGGTAACCAAGTTATCCATGTCATATGATTTCTCCTCCGCCTTCTCTCCCGGTGCCGTCGATTTCGATTGTTTGTGTCCTCCAGCAACAGTTCCCTTTCCTTTCGTTTCAAGTAAGATCCGTGGAGATATCTGTGTAATCCCCGGCGAGCACATCCCATTCTCTTCCTTCTTTTTCTCTTCTGTAAATTGTCTTCGGGGTGACAAGATTTTGTTCGGACTGCCGGTGACACACAGACGTGGTATATTCGCTTTCACAATCCGTTTCCCTCCAACAGTTCGCGGCTCTCTCTTCGTTTCAATTTTGGGTTTCTCAATTTTCTCCTTGAACGAGTCAAAGATTTCATCCTCCTCTTTCCCATTGTTGTTCCATGACATGTTGAACTCTAACATCACTTCATGGAGTAACAACGAGAAGAGACCAAGTCTGTAAAACGCTCTTCGACTGTAATCCGTCTTATGAGACGCAAGTCCATTCAACATCATTAACGCTCCTATTAACACGCGAATGTCGTCTTGTGTCCACACGTTCTTGTAATAGATTTTAATGAACAATTTATATGCAAAACGGGTGTATTCATTGATCACCGTTTTCCTTCGAATGATCGGCGCATTGACCGCAAAAAAGTGCGTGAAAAACGACAGCGCTGTGACCTTCGCCTCCACTCCAAATATCCCCGTCTCGTCTTGCAAAAATCTGAACAACAGTCCATTCGGGGGCAACACAAGACTCTCTATAACATTTTGTACTGCCGTGTAATTCGTGTTATTCGGCAAATTCTTCTGATCAAACGTTTGCAACAGTCTCACCAACACAAGAAAGTAGACGATCGAAAGATCTTTCTTTTTGCCCAAAATGCGATTGACGTTCTCTTGGTAATTCGCAATTTCCTTATCCCAGTCGATCAAATACCGGCGAATACAATTCAGCGCCAACTTCCCAATTTCTCCCGGAGAATACATCAATTGAATCGCGTGGACTGCATGGGTTTCCGTCAAGTGTTTATCAATAAACAAGCCAAATGTATTGCTCAGCTCAATCAACAAATCATATTGCATGTCCAAATAACATTCCGTCGACGGGCGTTGCAATGCTGACGATATCGGTAACAAGAACTTCTCCGATAGTCCAAGTCCATACGACTGATATTTCGCTATTTTCATGTAGACGCGCAAGATCTTCAAGAGTTTCCGATAAAAGTCGATGTTAAAAGTCAGCGATTCCTCCACAATAAGTTCCCACTTCACAAGTACGGCCACCATTAAATTATCTTGATTCGATATAAAACAATGCTTGAAGTAATTCTCAAGCGAGTACATGATATTCAGAAACATGTCGTTATACTCCATCGACGCACTCGACAACAACAATTGACAAATTTGCTTCATCAACTCAATATTGGGCGGTTCCGCTACAATATTCTCCTTCACAAATTTCATCACTTCCTTGACATCCGCAAACCCATCTTTATACTGAATATCTCCTTCAACTTCTTCCACGACAACAGGGTCAGGCTTGATTTTCACACTTGTCCTGTCGACTTTGAGAATATAAGGAAGACTCTCTATAAACACACTCTGCGCTAACCGTTTCGCTTCCAACTTCATTTCATTCCTCGACGAAACTTCCTCTTGTTGGGGCGACTTTGGTATTTCTCGTTGCGTCGGCCGGGGTGTAATAGCTCTCTGGAACACTCTGCTTTGTCTTCTTACAAACGTGTCAGGCTCCGGAAACGTATTTGTTCCAAAGAATATCGACCGTCGTTTACTCTGCTTCGTCGGTGTGCTTTTGTCGTACTCTTCCAAATTGAACTTCGAGTCCTCGTCCACAACTAACACGACCTTTAACTGCGCAAATGGCTTCTCCTGAAAGACATACTCGCCAAATACATTCTGATGGATTCGCCCAAGTTTCGTCGCTAACAATCCGCCAAGCTTTTCAGTCTGAAAAAGGGGGTGGAAGACATTTGGAAACATGTCGATCAGTGGCCCACAGATTTTATAGATCCCACAACACACCGGGTGGACTCGTATATGATCAAACAACACTCGGATGACTACCTTTTCCTCTCCAACATTCTCATTCAAGACTTTTGAGATGACACTGATGATCCCATTAATTGTATCTCTATCCCCACCATCGCACGTACTTTTCAAAAGTTCCGGCAACATCCCCGCAAAGCTCTTCAAATCAACTTTCTCCCTCTGCAATGTGGAAATTGTTGTTGTAATCGTCTTTGGAGTCTGTGGGATGCGCTCAATCTGTGAAATAAACTTTTTAATAGTTTTCACGGCGTTGTCGGTTGTCTCGCATTTGTCGACAACCTTCAGCTTCTCGTTCAGAAATATCAAGCAATTGTTTTCTTCGTCCAAATCGATCCTCTTAATCCCTGGGATGTTTTGAAATATGATTCTGGGCGATGTTGGTTCGGGGTATATAGCGGGAGTTTTATTAATAGGTGGGATGTCCGAGAAGAATATCGTTTTCATGAGAAACTGGACAACCTGTTGGTACAATTGGAAAAGTGTTATTGCAGAACGAATTGCGTTGGACGTCACGCCTTTTGTTTTGACTGATACAACAATTTCGGAGGTGTTCTTTTTCTCGGGAATTCTCTTTTTGATGAGGGCGGCAGTAACATTTTCTTTGTAAATCGTGTGATGTGTAATGAGTGTGTTGTATTTAATAGAAATTGTGATTCCCCTTCAACGTCAGTTCTTCAGTTTGAATGAAATTGATTTCAAGTGATCTTTTATTATACAAATTCTATATGAAAAGAATAAACTTTGTTGTTTCACTGGAAGGAGTGAGAAGCCATACCAAGACAGTGGCTGGGGGCATCGTTTTGAATGTCTCGGTAATTTCGGTTGGGTCGCTCGAAAAGACGGTAAGTGGGACCTCATAGTATGTTGATGATGGAGAGACAAGGCTACGGCGCAAACTTAACCGAGGTGATGTCATTTCTCCTTAGTAAACTACTTTTCTTGTTTTTCTTTTTCTTTTTTGAAAAAATGAAAAAGTATTTTCGAAAAAAGGTGTTTGAGGCTATTTTTGGTGGTTTGTGAATTTTTTTATTTCTTTCTTTTTTGCACGAGAAAATAACTCGAAACAAAAAACCAAAGAAATGGGTGCGGTACAAACAAGGACAGAGGCAATCGACAACATCTTCAAGATCAACAGACTCGACCCGAAAAAGGACAAACTCGTCTTGAAAAACGTTTGTGTTGTATTCTACGTGTGCGTGAGTTTTATTTCGCTTTTGTAACGTCTTGGTGAAATTCCCATATACTGAACTTAAAGCTTTTGAATTACCAACGGTTTGTGAGACGGGACTACAACTTCGAGTTCAACCACATCGCTTCTCTTTATTTCCTCGACAAACGGAAAAACGGGTATTTCCTCCGTGACGATTTGATCGAATTTGCAGGTCTCTTTGTCCAGTTCAAGACAAAGAACGAGCAGGACTATCTCAGGAAATTCCAAGCTTACGCATCGACGCAGTTTTGGAAGGATTTAAAAGACGGCCAAGGGCAGTCCAGCGTCGCTGAGTGGATGCTTAAACTTTTCAAAGAGAGTTGTGGAATAAAGATTCTTGAATCTTCAAAGGATATGTTTTTCACATCATCAGCAATTCAAGAAATATACCAAGTGCTCCGTGTTGAAGACTATAGCGGAGTGAGTTTTGAAGTATTCATTCGGTGGTTTCAAAAAGTCGCGGAAGACTCGGGACAGTTCGAGCTTCTCAACCCGGAATTCGACGACGTCGTTCCGATGTTGGTTGTCGCTGAGTTTTTCAGAGATTTTTTGGATGAGTGTTACTCATATCTTCAGAACATCCTTCAGACGACAGCGACAAAGATATGAGTCCAATTTCTTGTCTTCTACCCTTTACAATTTCTCATTTATTATTGCCTTAAAAATTATTTCATTCCTCCACTCCAAATCAAAAAATAATCTTTTCTTTTTTAAAATTGTCGAATAAATATTTTGTTTAAAAACAAAGTTAATAAAGTTGTGCATTTTTGAATTAAAAATGCAAAAAACAAGCTTATGTTTAAAAAAAATAAAAAATAGTGATAAATGTGAAAAACAATTTTGTCAATACTTTCGTGATTGACAAAAGAACTGTTAAATCAGTGAGTAATTATAAGTTCGTTGTAGTGAAGCTTGTTTCTGAGCTCAAGGTAGGACTTTTCGAATTCATCATATTCAATCTCTTTTGCAAGCAATTTTTGAATGGCGTCAGCGCTGTCTTTTTCAATTTTTTTGTTTTCCTCTTCCACCATTTTTATTAAATTTTCTTTCGATTGGGTTTGCTCAATCTCCTTTTTCTCTTGAATTAAATGTTTTTTCTCTTCTTCAAGTTCTTTTAATTGTTTCTCAAGCCGTTCCAACTCAGATTCCATCAATAATTCAAGTTCTCAGTTTTGTTTTTATTTCAAAAAATTAAATCAAAATCAATTCGGCATCTGTTTGTCATACTTTATAGTTATACTCATAAATATTATATTATATAAATATAGTTTGTTATCATTAATAAAACATAATAAATTATAGTTACTTTTATTAAATGACAATAATAATAAATTTTAATAATAGTATAATAATTAATTTATAAATCATGTATCATAAAAAAAATATAACATTAGTATTATTTTAGTTACACTATAATTATAATTCAAGTTTTTTTTTAATTTATTAATAATAATATTTTAAATGTTGTTTAAAATTAATAATTGTCCAATATTATGTACTATAACAACCTATTTTTTTCTTAAATAAAAATCAAAAAAACCGTTTTAGAAATAAAAAACTTGTCAACAATTTATAATTATTGAAAATTATTTCTAAAAAAGCTATAATAAGGTTTTCTTATCAAAAAAAATAATAATTATAATAATATTTTTTTATTTAAATAATATAAATATAATTTAAAAATGACTAAATAAATCAATGGCATTTTACACTCGCTTGAAAAAAAAATTACTCAATTTTTTACAAATTTAAAAAAAAATATTATAAAAAATCAAAATCATAACCTTTCGGAGATAACCGAAATTTTTATTATATATTATAGTATTAATATTATTTCATTTTAGTAAAAACAACACAATAAAAAACTTTTGATTTTTTTTTCAAACAGAAAATTCGTAGAAAAAAACAACTTGAGTTTTTATTATTTGTTTACACGTCATTAATAAATAAGTTTAATTAACTGCTAAATAATAATAAACGGTAAAAAAGAAAGACTAATCGTTATACTAACACTGTTCTTTTCAATTACAATTCCCTCTACAATTCGGGTCAACAAACTGTTTTTTCGTTTTAAATAAAACCGACCTATATCTATTAATACAATTATAGTAATTTATTAGTTTACAAAACCCATAAAAACAATTCGAAGAATTTTATCAAGAAGAAAAGGAACAACTTTTGATGTCAATAGAAGAACGAAATGCTTTTTCTTGTAATAAATCCAAACCACCAAATAAGTTGTTTTACTCCTCCATTTACTCATATAATTATTAAAATACTAACCAACTCTTATAATTAATAATTAGGACAAAAAAGACTACAAAGAAGTTAAGTGATATATAACAATGAATTATGAAATATTACTTACAAGAAACAACATCAAAAGGACAGTAAAACCTCCCTTCGTTCTTTACTACACAGCACGAGTCTTCGTTTTTGTAGTTCAGCCGAAGTTCCTTAATAAGACGATTGAAGCATTTCTCTCGACGTTTTGCAACATAATTATCGTTGATGTTTTGTTTCGACCGAGTCAAGTAAGTTGCAAATTGATTAATCCAGAACGCATACTGTTCTTCATTTTCAACTAAATAGAGCCGTTGTGTCTTTTGTGTGGTTTCGGTCTCCATAATTGCATTTACATTTCTCAGTCGCTTTATATACCAAAAAACTCTTGAGTTATGCCACGTCCTCTTTGTTTTTTCCGTTTTGCACAAATAATCACAGAGCCTTCGTCTTGCCCGAATTTAGCTAAAAAGCCCGGTGATTTTTTTCCATTTTCCTAACCCAACTTCCCTTCTTTTTTGGGAAACTCTTTCCTATTTATATTGGCTTGTTGTTATTTCAATTTTTTGTATCAGATTTTCAATCATTACTTTAAAAATGGTCTAATATCTATTTAATTAAGTTATTAATATTCTATATTAAGAAAAACAAAACAGCCCATTGTCCCGATTTCTTACCTTTTGTCCTACTTTTTCCCTTCCAAAACAGCACCTTAAATAACAATTTGTCACCAACTATCAAAATGTTATATATATCATTTTCAAAAATCAAGTATAATGTTATATATAACCTTTTAAGACAATTCTGTTTTATGCATTAAAAATGTTATATATAACAATTTCCAAATAAATGTTATATATAACAAAAATGTTGACAAATTGAAATGATTTACAGCAAAATGTTTTTGTCATTGATTTTAGTGAAAGTCTCTGAATGATGCAAACAAAACTTTGAATTTATATGACGTTTCTCTCATGGCTGTTTCCCAAATTGCCAGAGGGAGCAACAGGACTCATGAATTTGGGGAACACGTGCTACTTAAATAGTGTTCTCCAGTGTCTTTCACACACGGAGTACCTCACGGAATTTGCACTCCAATACAAATTGCCTTATTACATTAAAGGCGATCAACAGCGACACTATACGGAGTCTGTAGCCGAATCGATGATACAAGTCATCCAGCAAATATACAGCGCGCAATCGACGATATCACCAAAAGAGTTTTTGATCACGTTTAGAGCGTACAACAAATCGTTTTGTAACGGCGAACAGAAAGACGCTGCGGAGTTTCTAATGCTCTTGATAACGAAGGTCGACTCTGATTTAAGGAATCAGACATACTCGGTACCACCGCCTTCCGTTATATCCGCAGACTATGTCCAAAGCTTTGTGGATTATTCGTTGAAGAATCGGTCGATTATCACTCAAATTATGGGAGGAATGATCCACACCCATCTCGAGTGTTCCTTCTGCAAAGCGTCCAACGACTTCTCGGAACCATTCACCATCATCCAACTGCCAATCCAAATCATGTTTTCCACTAACAACTGCAAAATGCCATACATCACATTGTACGACTGCCTGGAATCGTTCATGCAGTCGTCGCATGTCTGTTCAGTCTGTTTCAAACTGCAAACCCCGTATCGAACATTCGTCGCAACACCTCCAATTCTTGTGTTTCAGTTATTACGATTCAAACAAACGGAAAAGGGAAGTGAAAAGGATACAACGCGAGTGTTCTACCCCCTTCGCGACCTTGTCGTCAGTGGAGTGAAGTATGAGTTGTACAGCCAAATCATTCATTACGGTAAAATAAACTCGGGGCATTACACTGCAAATTGTGTCATCAATGGCGAGTGGTTTGCCTTTAACGACGGGTCTGTCGACAAAATTGAAAATGCAAATGTGATGAATTCGAGCGCCTATCTTCTCTTTTACAAAAGGACTGAAACCCCCAAGTAGTGTTGTTTATTCATTCAATTTTTTTTGTTAAACGAATTCCAAATATCGTTTGTTTTCAATCGTGAAGGTGCATTACTTTGTATTGTATTAAATAGTCGTACAGTCTTCTAAAGTTAGCCTTATGGTAAAAGCTTGCCTTATGGGATTTTTAAAAAATATAATTAATTTAATTATAATTATAAATAAAAAACAATTAAATAAAAAGTAATATATTTTACTTTATAAAATAAATAAAAATAATTATTTAGTTTATTTACTAAAAATAAACATTGAAAGCAAGCTTTACCATAAGGCTTATTTAAGTGCCTGTTAATAATTAATAGTTATAATAAATTTACTATAATTATAAAGCATCAGACTCACCATTTCTGTTTCCAAAGAGGTTCTCTGCGATTTGGTCGAAGCGTTGTCTTGAGATGTTAATTTTATAAGAGTTGCACAAAAAAGTCTCTTTGTAGTTAGCTGGTATAAAATAGTTTTTATCAAGTGCTGTTCGAAAGACAAAGACAAAGGAACAAAACGAGAGGGGGTTTGGACACTGTTTGGCAAATTCCATATACACTGTCGAAATCTTAAGAGGCTTTGCAGTGCGTTTCCCATCGTTTCCAAGTGATATCAAGAATGCGGAGTAAAGCAAATAGTTGAGATAATATGAAGTGTCGTTCGCGATGTCGGTGGTTTCCACTAAGACGTTTTTACCACACAAAATGGGTCGCATGAAGTCATTTCGCATCTTTTGGATAATCAATTGAGTGACTTCTTGTGTATCATTGGATGAGTTGAGAGTATTAAATAGACTAAATATATCTGTTTGAATAGTTGTCCGAGTCGCGTAGTTGTTATGCAGATCTTTTGCAAGAGATATAAATTCTTGTGTATACTGAGCAACATTTGGTGAGTTGTGTGTAATTGAAGAAATGATTGTTTCTAAAGCGGTGTATGAGAGATATGGGAATTTGATCGACTCTCTAGATGGTATAGAGAGTGTTGGTATTGACGAATATGTTGTTAGAAACAGGTCGAAAGAGTCTGAGTACACCATTTTGTATTCGTCTTGTAATTCAAGAATACGTTGAAGGTAAAGAGTGTTTGTGGGGTCTTCAATATCGTTGACAACAAGAATAAAATGAGAGGGCCGCTCGTTATGTTTATTCATAAAATGTTCTCGTGTTTCTATCACTTTGTCAAATGCATTTTGTCCCTTTGAGTTAGTAAACACCACTATAATAGAATATTTAATATATTATATATAATATATTATTTATTGTTTGTACTAAACAAACGACTGCAAAAAGACTCTCCATTTTTTGAACAAGAAGGTATGGATAAAGATCTTTAAAACACGCAGATAATATAATAAGAGCATCATCCTCTATTTGCCTCTCAACAACCACAGTCTCATATCGTCCCTATTAATAAATAAACTATTGTATTGAATACAGAGAAACAAACGTATCGGATGGAATTGGAAATGGCTAAAATTTGTTCGGATCGCTCCGGATATAATCTCTGTACCTCAACACACCTTTCTTTCATTAATGTCTGTTTTCTTTGCTTAAAAATTGAGATGTGATAGTTATATACTTATTGATTTATTTATAGTTTTATAATACTATTATTAACTATACTTTTATTGATAAACAAAAATGGTTCTATATAATATATTTATAGTTTATAACAAATGAATTGAAATTATAATTGAAGCCCGAAAATTAGAGTAATGTTGTCGTAACATAATACAAACAATAATATAGTTTTAAACTGTTAAATTTCGGGGTTTTTCGAATTATTTAATGAATTAAATTGTTTAATTAAACTCTACTTACTGTACTAAAAAAAGAACAATGGCATTTTAATAAGTTTCCTTTTCAATTCAACTCGCATATTTACTTATCAAAACTTATTACCATTATCTTCTGGAAATTGAAACGGTGTATTTTAAAACAAACATATGGTAAAATTTATAGTAATATACCAGTAAAGAATAGCACATTGGAACAAATTCTACCACTGTTATTTGAAACCGAATTGAAATTGAAAAAAGCAGAGTACTATGTCGAGCGACGAAGGTGGAAAGAAGAAAATTCTTTTTAGTAAGGGCTTTCGTGTATTTGGCGGGGACAGTCGGCGCTCCAGTGATTACCAAGAGCTAGTAACCAAAAAAGACGAGAAGAAAGGGAAAAAGCGTCACGCATCAATATCGACAGAGGCTCCAAGCACACAACCTCCTCCACCGAAGTTAGTAGTCAAGTCCAAAAATACCGATCAAAAAGCAATAGAAGAAAAAGAGAATTTAGACATGCTCAACTTGTTTAAGTCATGCATCTCGAAGTTTGCAACACCTTCTCCTTTAGTCTTTCCCTGTCCTTCTTTGACCAAATACAAAACTTTGAATAAGTCGACTATTCAACAGAAAGAAGATATGTTTGAAATGTGTGGCAATGCGATCTATAGAATCACGGTGAAGATCGATTGCTGGAGTTCTTTAGTTCTAGAGACCGATGAGTTCTGTGAAACGCAAGAGTCTCAACTGATTCCTCTCTCCGTCCAGAAAAGTGGCTATAATTTGGAGTCAAACTCCGCTTCTATTAAAAGAAAAAGTAACTTTGAAAGTACTATTATAGTCGACGTCGAGTCCGACTTCCCTTTTTATAAACAGTTCTTCTATAAAAACCTCAAAGTCCACCATTACTTGTCTAAAGAAGAACACGTCTTAGTCTCAATCGAGAAATTTAATGAAGTCTCTCGATGTATCTACAGAGGGCCAAAGGGTGTTGTAAGGTGTTTGATAGGGAAGGATGAGTCCGAGAAACCACAGAACTACGCGAGATTTTTCTCGGATCCAAAGTCTGTGACGTGCATTGCAAATGACAGTGGCATTGATGACAAACTCTGTGAGATGGAGGAAATGGCAACAGTCTCACACTACAAATTTGGAGTGATATACGTGAAGCCAGGACAAACCACTGAAGATCAGATCTTTAGTAACACAGAGAGTGACTGCTCCCCTGCTTTCTGGAATTTTTTGAACTTAATTGGAGCCAAAATCGAGCTTTCAAAGTACTCGGGATACCGTGGAGGACTCGACGTCAAAACTGGATCTACTGGGAAATACAGTTATACGTCACACACTAACACTTATGACATCATGTTCCATGTTGCGCCGTTATTACCTACTTTAAAGGGAGATGAACAAGGTCTAGAGAAGAAGAGACACGTTGGAAATGATATTGTGGTGTTGGTCTTCAAAGAGAGAAATGCGCCAAAAGACATGTTTGATCCGCAGATCATTACATCACATATGAGCAGTTTGTTCTCTTCCTATTTTTAGTATATTATATATTATATATTAATAATAATTAATTGGAGAATAAATTATTATTATAGAATATTATACCAATAAAATAGAATTATCAATTGGTTAATGCTTCTATGATATAATTATAGTATCAAAATAGTATTTACTTGTAGGCGTGTTTGTTGTTGTGTCTCCACATAACATGAAGGCAGATAATGATATGTATACGGTTGGAATAGCTTCTAATGCAGAGATAGGTACATTCCCTCCTTACTTGAACAAAAACGGGTTGTATAAACACGACAAGAATCTTAAAGACTTCATTTTACGAAAAATGATTAACGCGGAGAGGTCTGCTATGCTGACGGGAACTTATAGATTAAACGCGCGAAAAGCTCTAAAGGACCAAATCGACAGCATTGGTAAAACATTCTGCAAGTAACTTGTTTTTAGTGTTTTTTACCATATTTGAATCAATACATACTATAATATAACCATATGAAGATTTACTTCCTTATCTATGGTGAAATTTTATATTACAATTAAACGAGTTTCTAGTATTTACCATTCACTACTAAGCATTATGGTTAATTTAATTAACGCAATAGATTATTATACAGTATAATAAATAATATATAAAAAAACAAGAAGTTAAATTATGAATCGTGAACATCACCCGTAGCAGTCACCACCATGTCTGTGTAGTTCTTTGCTGCGTAGTTTGGATTGTAATATGGGTTTTCGATGAAGACGCTGAGGTGTGAGAACATGTTAAGTCTTGCGATCTCGAACTTCTCTTGATCCTCCTTTGAACGTGTCAAAGAAGTCACTGATCCGAAGTCAAGTGGGTATTTGAACTTCTTTCCCACGACAACAGAAAGAATAGCCTGAAGTGTTGATCGATGTGATATAATAGCTACACGATGATATTTCTTCATGATGGCATTCAAACAATTTTTCACTCTGAGTTCCATTGTTTCCCAAGTCTCTAAGTCTAATTTACCGCCAAGGGGCACAAAGTTCTTGTCAAGTTTCTCGTCTTGCATGGGAGTCGGGTCTAACACCGGGAGAGCCTTTCTGTTGTTAATTGACAAGAACTCTCCAAACGCCGGTTCAACGACATAGTGAATTCCTAATTCCTCAGCTATGCATTTGGCGGTCTGCGTTGCTCTATAAAATGGCGAAGAAACGATCAGATCGATCTTTTCATATTTCAATCTCTTTGCAAGGTCTTTTCCTTGTTGTAAACCTTCTGGGGACAAAGGTGGGTCATGGGGGAATTTGGCTTTAGGGACCCAAGTGAGGTCATTGTAGTCGATTCTGAATCCATGTCTGCACAAAAACACAGTGTCCTGTGATGTGAATGAGTCGTGCAATTCTTGTAACAGCTTAACGAGTGAAGTTATGCCAAAACAGAAGAAGTGGTCGACGTCGAAGGTATCGTCCAATTCACAATTGTCGAAATTGGAGAGGCGAATGGTCGGTTTTTGCGGCGCGTTGTCGACCGCGTCGAAGACAAGTCTGAGTGTTGTTTTCTTCAAACACACTTTTGGCGTCTTTTTAGCAACGACAAGAAGCTCATTAAGTCTTTTAATGAAGTACGGAAGGACTTCATATCTATGGAAAGACTCCACCTCATCTTTTATTGCATCTTTAATAGCTTGAGTAGCTTCTCCCCATGTCGCTTTATTCTTCTCACCACCTTGAATAGAGAATCCATGTGGCAAAGACTCATTTTCATCAATAGGTTGTCCAATATTAATTGGAATGACTTTAGGGTTCGAATATACAGTTGCGGAAGAGTCTTCAGCGTCTAAGACAAAAGAAGCGAATTCAGTCTTCCCAATCTTATCTAAGAAGATCTGTTCCTTGTCTTGTTTGACTTGTTTCTTTTTATCAGATACCTTCTTGGAGACATCTTCACTCTTGGAAGCAGACTTGACGCGTGCATCGTCTTCTAGAGACTCTGAGGAAGTCATTGGTTTAATTGGTTGGATCACACTAATGTCTGACATTGAAGGAGAAAGAATAAAAGTTTCATTTTATACAGTCCAACTGAGTTCAAAAATTGTGTTGTCATCTTCCAAATTTTTTAAAATTCTTTTATCTTCGAAAGACACTAATTCAGGAAGATAAAAATTCTTTTTCTTGGTTTTCGAGCTTTTTCGTTTTGCTCTGAAGCAATTCATTACCGAATTCCCTCGTCTTTTAATGTATTTTTCTTTTGTTCAAATCTTAGGCAATCCTATGCTCATCCATAATGTTTGTTTGTATGTACAAACTTTTTTTTTCGGGAAAGGGTTTTCCGCTCTTCGTGCGGTTTTTTTCGTTAATCGTTTTGGCGTTTTTCTTCAAAAAAAAAGAAACTGAAAACTGAAAAACAAAAGGCCTTTTTTTAACAGTCATTTTTTCGTTTTTGTATTTTTTACTTCCCATAACTTGAATTTCTTTGATATATATACTATTAATTTAATATTTTTTATTATTAATTAAACACTTTTACTAACTAATAACACTCATGGTTTTTTTTTTCATTGTATGTCAGAATATAACTGGTGATTGTGTTTCGTTTTTTAAAGTTAACTAGTCATATTTACTTTTATTTAATAAAAATATGGTTTGTAAACAATAATGGTAAAAAAAAAGCACAAATTACAAACCACACACTTTTTTTGGGTTGTATTAGTTGAAGTATAGAAGGAATCAAAGAAGAATTTTATTATTGAAATGCGTCTATTTTTTGATTATTTAGTCCAGAATTTCCTAACATGTCGGGATATCAACTGAAAAATGAACAAAAGTTGAACTTATTAAAAAGACATACGAAAAAGACAAATTTATTATATTTAAATTAGCATAATATCCCGAAATTTTAGAATTAATATATGTGTTGTTTCAACTTGAAAAAGAAAAAATTAAAAAAGTCATTCACAAAAATGTTATTATTGTTAAATTAGGATCATTCAATTATTATTATTAAATTCATAAGATATTTTATCAATCCTAACAAAATCTAATATTTTATTCATTTTTGGGACCTAACAGCATTTAATTGTTATTAATAGTTAGATGACTAATATTTTAACACAATAATGATAATACTATTCTTTTATTATTAAACTATTTATAAATAATTATATTATCAAACCAAATATTTATTAAATAAAAGTATTAATAATAAACCAAATAAAGAAAATATTAAAACTATAAATTTATTATAATAACTATATTTACATCAATAATATTAAAACCATTAAATAAGAACCAAAATGGTTTACTTAAGCTGTTTAGCGGCATCAATAATGTACTTAACAGACACCACGCTTGAGCTTGGGATGAATTGGTTGATTCTCTTATTCACGAGCAACTTCTTGAATGCGGCGTCCACTTCTGGATACTTTCCTGCCAACAAATCTCTGAACAATTCGATGAGATGATTGGCAATATCAGCTGGCACTTTGTTAATGCTGTTTTCAAACGCAGCGCCTCTCTTTAACGCAACAGTGGTGACTCTCTCGTATTGTGTACCCTTCGATTTGGTCTCAATAGTGCTCATCACTTCGCCAAACACATTCTTTAACTCTTTGCACACAGCCTCGTCAACAGCGTCTGAAGCTGCCGCAACATTTGTTGTAGCAGGAGAGAAACTAGGGAGCGTTGGCATAGTTGGCATCACTGGTTTAGTCTCCGGAGCAGCTACTGGCATTTGTGGTAGCACTGGTTGCGGGATTTGTGGAGCGACTTGTTGTTGAGGCATAACTGGTAATGTTGGTAAGACTGGTTGAGGAATGTTTTGTTGTGTAGGGATGATAGGTTTCATTGGTTGAGGGATAGCTGGCATATTATTGTTCTGTGGTATTGTCGGCATAGTTGGTAAAGTAGGTTGAAGTATTTGTGGGAGTGCAGGTTGTTGTATATTCGGCATTACTGGTTGATTCATTTGTGGCATTTGAGGGAGAGTTGGTTGAGGGATAGATGGGATAGTTGGCATAGCGGGTAAAGTTGGTTGTGGTACAGTTGGTAACATTGGTTGTTGGGTAATTTGTGGTTGATAGTTTGATGTGTTCATATTAGACATTGGTAATGTTGGTTGAGGAATAGCAGGCATTAATGGTTGTGAGAATTGTTGTCTTTGGACGGGTTGTTGCACTGGTGGTTGTTGTGTAGTGACGTTTCCAACAAGAGTCTTTTTATATGGGCATTGTGGTTGTGTTCCTTGTGCTCCTTGTGCGTAGTAAATCCTGTCGACCAATTCAAGTGTTTTGTTGTTTTGTTGAGTTCCAAGGCATTCAATCAACTTCTTTGCAGCAGTCAATTCGCCCATAGCAGCAAGTTGAGTTGAGTGGCCAACCAACTTATTTGTAATTTCCTCAGACAATTTGATTTGTCCGCACATAGTTCTGATGATTTCAGTCTTAACAACTATCTCTTCAATACCTTTGTTAGAGTCTACCCACATATCCATGATCTTTGGTACGTTACCAGAAGCAATGTAACACAATAAAGCAGCGTGTTTGTTACTTGCCAACAATTTATCACCAAGAGCTACCAACAAAACAGGTCTGACATTCACATTTGCATGTTTCTCAATAGCGTACACCACTAATTTCCAATTCTTCAATTCAACATTTTCGACAATTTCTTCCAGTTTCTTCTCAATGACAGATTCGACCATCACCATCGCTTTATTGTTCTTCCAGCACTTTTCTTTGAATTCAGCAACAACCTTTTTGTGTAACTCTGCATTGCCTTCCGTCATAACAAGTGCATCTGCATATCTTCCAATTTTCAAACAAAGCTCAACAGCTTTCTCAATCTCATTGCACACTACAAGCGACTTAATAAGGCCATCTTCCTCACTTTCAACATACTCTTTTTCTTCATCTTCTTTGACTTCTTCCTTCTCGTCTTGGGGGGCTTCGATCTTCTCCTTTTCAACTTCTTTTAAGTTCTCTTCTTCTTCCCCAATGTTCTCAAATGGGTCTTCTTCCTCTTCAGCTTGTTTGACCTTCTCTTCTTTTATCACTTGTTTCTCTTTCATTTCTTCGACTTTTTGTGGTTCGATCTTCCCAGTTTTCTTTTCAAAGCCTAAGTCAATCGTTTCTTTATTAACACCACACATCTTGACAACAGCTTCTTGGTCCTTGCATACAATACCACTGACCAACGACCATGTCTCTTTCTCTTCGCCAGTCGTCTCTTCTATCTTCTTGACACAGTACTCCTCCACTTCTTCTTTGTTCATCGTCTTCACATCAACCTTCCCAACAATTTTCTTCATCAAAATTTCATTCTCGTTGTAAGAAACAAATTTCCCGCCAAAGCCAAAAGCACAGCCGCATGAACGATTCATCCACTTCGGCTGTCTTCCATCTCCATAATCACTAATCGTATAGAAATTGATTAATCCGTTCAGTCCAGTCGTGCACATCCTTCCCTCCTGTGCACTCCATTCGACACATGTGTCCCAGACATTTTCTTGTGATGGAAACTCACAAAGAATCTTTCCGGTCTCATAATTCCAAATCGCTGTTTTGTCCTGTCCCGCTGTTGCGAAGATGCTCGGGTCTGTTTTGCTCCATGATATCGACCAAACTGGCGCATGATGACCTTCGAAGATTCTAACAGGTGCCATAGTGTTTCTGACGTCCCAGAGTTGGACTGGTTTCTCTTCTGAGTCCGAAATAGTGATGAGTGTAGTTTTCTCTGTAGGGACCCATCTTGCTCCCTTCCAATTGGCGTGAGTCTTGTCGTTGAATGTCATGATGTTCTTCTTCTTCTTACAATCGAAGATAACAATAGACCCCGAGGACAGTGTTAAAGCAATGATATGGGGGACTTTAACATTCCAATTGACAGTTTTAATATCCGCCTGACTCTTCTGTTCCGGTTGGAATGCAGTGACATTCGTCAAGTCGGAGATATTGTAAATAATGAACTCTCCGCATGCACCACCAGCCACAAGTTGAGTTCCGTCCGGGTGGAACTCAATGTCATATATGATTTCTTTAGTAGTCATTTCCGTGATCTTGGCTTCATTAATATCACCATCTTCTTTGATGATTTCAAACTTACTGACATCGTACAAGACTATACATGACTCATCATTCGAGACTGCGATAATACCTTGAGTATATCCAGGGTAGTTCCCCCATGTGAGCTTATAGAATCGGTTTTGGGATGACAGCTTCTTGACTAACTTCGCCTCTGAAGTGACTTCATAGATTTCAATGTAAGAACTCGAGTCAAAATCCTCATCAATTGTATCAGCTGTTGTTCCTACAGCAAGAAGGTTTCGTGTTGGTGACCAGCACAATGTTCCTCTTTTCTCGATAAATGCAGTCTTCGACATTTCAATGGATTTCTTAGTTCTCACAAAATAACTCACCACGTGTTTTTCTTTCTATTTGAGATCTTGACTTTTTTTAACTATAAATATGGTAATCATATACTATTCTATACTATTATTATTGTATATTATAATATACTATATTATATACTATATTAAAATAGATTAGTAACATTAATTAAAGTTATAATGAAATTAATTAAACGAGAGACGTCTTATATTTCGTCTTGGGTTGTATTTACTTGTGTTGAGTCCTTCACTTTTTCGTCTTGTTTAGCGCTGAGAAGACTTTCCTTATTACTCACCTCCTTATGATTTTGTTCTTCGATGGGTTTATATATTTTTTTGTAGAACAAAGCAATGGTGATGTTACAAATCAGTCCAAAGAAGACAATGACACCTAAAACTATCAAAATAGCTCTGAAACTAATGTATGGAGAGTATAACAAATCAGCACACATAAAACCTAAGTATACCACTCTCCACGCACACAACGGCGCGACTTGCTTTGGCCATATCTTATTGATTAGTGCCGTAGTGATGGTCTCCATACCAGAGTCCGCTATCCCACCAAACATCCCGACGACACAAATCATGATGTTCAACCCAACCTCATCCGATGGAGCTTCTGTTGCCCCTTTTAAGTATACTTCATTAGCGACGATACCCAGTATCACTACAATCGCCTCCGCTGTCATCGCGATAAGAAGTGTCCATTGTTCTGTCAATTTGCTATTCAAAAAGCCCCAAATGAATGTTGAAATGGTCATCATAGCTCCAAACGATATGAAGATGTATGGAGTCATTTCTATTGGTGCCATCACTGGCATGGTTGCGTAGTAATACGACCTCGAAAATCCAAAAACAAGAGCAAGTGGGAACAACAATATAAGTCTCCAATTAATGAAATTCTTGATCGTGGAGAATAACAGTTCCTTTAAACTTCCAACTGGTGTTGGTGGTGAGTCAAAAGTGAATAACATGAGTACCACAGCAATTGCTGATATAGCAGTTAACACTAAGAATAAGAGTGCGGGCTCCGATGGATTCACAAAAAGGGGGATGACATTACCAAAGAAGTTAAAGTAGACGGGAACAAAGAAGAACGTGTAGATGTATGACGGATGTTTACATCCTTGTTCATATCCAGATAACAACACAGCAGATGCAGACCATATTAAAGACGCTCCAAAGCCACAAAGAGCGGACGCAATAAAGTAAAGTGGTCGAAGAAGGTGGACATTAGTCGCTATATAAAACACATAACAAACACCAGCAAAGTACAACGAGAACTTCGGAGATAATATGTGGACCAAAAACGGAGTGAAAAACTGCGATATCCCATAACACCCATAGACAAGTGCTATCGATATATACCCATCTGTCTTGTTCACTCCAGACTGGAAATTTTGCGTGGTCTGATACCCAACTAATAGTAAAAAGAAACAGCACCCAACAAAGAACGATTTGATATAAGGAAGATACTCCTTCAGATTCACCGCCATACAAATTTATCAGTTTTAGCACATTATCACCTCCAAATACAACTCGAAGGCTTGAAGAAGCACAAAAGAATTGTTTGGTGTTCCTCTTTTGATTTGTGTTGCCGTTATTTGTGAGCAATTAATCGGGAATAATTTATTGGAGTTTGGTAAGAAATGTCCGTTATAGTTGTTGCTTTCTATTTTATTCGATCAGTTTGTAAAATCAGTAAGTTACTATAAACAATCTATATATTATACTATAACTACAATATTGTACATATCGAAAAGAATATCAATATTTATCAACGAAAACTGACATTATGTAAAAAATATAGAAATAATAAAAGTAGTATTATTAAAAATAATATATAGTATATTTTTAATATACCATTTATTCAATAAACAACAGTAATAAATTAATAATTACTATAATACATAAATAATAAGTCAAATTATAGTAAAACAATTAAAAAAGAATAGTTATAAAATATATAAAGCAGTCTCGAATTGAGAACAAGAAGTAGAAGACTTTCAAGTTACTTATGTGAGTTATAAATGATATAACTTCACGATGTTAAACAGCTAAAACAGAAATAAATCAATTAGGCACAACAAATATTATAAAGAGGAGTGTTGATATAAATCCCGAGACGACGGAGAACGAGACGATAGCCGCCGACACATCAAGTCGTGCGGCTTTATACTCCACACTATATATAATGTTAAGCAGTGGTGCGGGACAAAGGCAACACAATAAAATAATCGAACGAGTGATTGTTGTAATAGTGCCGGCTAGTGAGTAGAAGAGTGCTAGCCCCACTGTAGCACCAATAATAACACGAAGAATAACGGCTCTAAGTGCGATGAAAACGACTCTTGTTTTGTTTTTCCATTCAAAGAACAGTCCAAGTACAACAAATGAGAGTAAAGTATTCCCTCCTGCTATTATCGAAATCAGTTTAGTAACAAAATGTGGAAGTGGTGTGTTTGTAAGACCCACAGCGTATCCAGCAGGCATAGCATACAGTGGCACACAAGTCACTATAGCTTTCAATATAGTAAAGAGTAGTTCTTTATAATTAAAGTTGGGTTGTATATCTCCTTGAATATCTTTATCGCCATATCTAACCTTAAAAGTGGTGCTTGTCAAGTCAAGCGAAGTTCTTGAGAGCTCCACGGAAGTTCTTGTTGAGTCTGTGCGTGCGGCTGGTGAATGGACTTTCTCCGGGTGTGGACTTATTTCGACTGGGATAGCTCCTTTAGTATAGATTGGAGGGGTACTGTCCATGGTAGAGATATCCTTCATCACATTCTCGTGTAATTCGATTTCTAAATCGTCTTTTTCTGAAGGGTCCAATTCTTTGGTGCCTTCGATAAGAGCAAAAAGTGGTCGAAGTACAAAGTAACAGGCTACATCATTACTCATATTGAATAGAATAGCCAGAGATATACCATTTTGTGGGTCTAGAGTTTCGATAACTGGGAAAAGAAACAACCCGATGTTAAGACCAATACACCCCCCAAATTGAACTTGCCATAAAACTTCACTTTTGAGGACAAACTTGAAGAGAATGAATGATATAACGCCGCTGGATATTTGGAAAATAAATCCTGAGACAAACATTGCTAAGGACTCAAGAGTTAGTGTATGCGTGTTTGCAAGTGCTTTGAAAATAACACACGGAAATGTCAAGTTAAATAACACTTTCATGATTAAATTGCAATTCTCACGTACAACGCCGCGGAAATATATAATTTTTAATATATAAGCAGCGGTGATAATAAACACTAACACACCATATTGCTCGATTATTTTGTAGTCCATAGATTTGAATTATTCTGATGGCTTTTATACAAATCATTTTGCTTATAACTTTCAAAAGTCTTTTTCAATTTTTCAGGCTAAGTATAATTTTAATATAGTTTTAATGTTATATTTTATAGCTTTGTAAGGAAAGAAGTCATAAATTGATTTTGATATTGTCTCCTTTTCCTCTTGAAAAAAAGGAGAAGTACATAAGAAAATAATTAGTTATTTATTTAGTATAGCAAAATAGTTCTTGTTACATTTTGGAATTGTTTGATAATTCAAATTTGTAATTTTTTAAACTAAAATTGGAATATATTTTTATAAATTAATAATATTAATATTAATGATAATATAATTATTGGGTTGATTAATTATTTATAACTATAAATATTAAAAAAAATATTACAGATTTACTAGAGAAAAAAAAAACAATTTAGTAATATAAATGATATAATTTACTATTATAATTTCAATACTTTCCAAATTATTATTTTAGGAAAGTATAATAATTATAATAATTATATTATTCAACCGGTCTAAATATAGAATTTATTTACTATTTTTAATAATATTTTAATTATAATTATAGTAAATGGGAGTTTTGGATGATATTTGGTCTGGTTACCGAAATCAAGAAATGCCGAAAAAAAACCTCGAGTTAGTGTAAACCAAGTGAGACGGAGCATTGAAAAGAAGGCTCTGAAGGCCGCACTCAACAGCCTGTTTGCGGGGGGACGTGGATTCCCCTGAACCCCCCCGCAAGCGGGGGGAACCACATCCGCGTCCACACAGTACGGACAAGGAAAGTGGGTGACATGGGGACGCACAAACAGTGGCTGAAAAGTAGACTTCCTTCAAAAAACACTCGCAGCAAATATTTTATTTTGGTAAACAGGGTGGGAAATAATTATTCAACATATTTATAAAAAATATTTTGAAAAATTCTTTTTCTTTAAATTAAAAAAAAGTTAAATTGTATATTATCAATTATAATATAATTAATAATACTATATAATTTAATTGTCATTCAATACGAAATAAAAAAATGAACACATAATAAGTATTAAAATCATGTGATGACAATGATTGCGTGAATGAGACCCGGTAAGTATAATATAAGAGTGAGTATAAGATTGATACAAAAGTCACACCCGCACCCTTTTTTCAATAAGACGGCCAAAGGTGGTATAAACAATGCAATAATAATTAGTGATAGACCAGATAGACCCATTTGATTGCTTTGAATAAGTTCCTCCTTTTATTTCTAAGAAAATATGGTGGTTTGAATATGACCTCTTATGTGAAAACAAAAACTGAACAATTTTTGGTTCTCATCTTGTTCATCATTTAACATTCTCTCTTTTTTCCTCACAACTCGTGTCAAAGAATCAAAAGAAGTCATCAAATTTTTTTTAGAATTCATTTTTGATTTAAAAATGCAAAAAAACACCAAAATTGTACTATTTTATTCATTCTATAAACCAAATGAAAATGTTACTATGTCTAGTTTTGTAAAACCATATTACAATTGTTTCTATCGACAAGTTTATATGATAAAAAACTTAATGTTGAATAGTAATTAGAACACTATAATTATATGAGGTTATTTTTAGTTTTTATACTAAAATTATTGTTATTTCAAAATGATAACGAATCTCATTTTTCGGACTAATTAATATACAGATAAAATGTTTAATACAGTATATATTTTAATTGTTCATTTATAATAAATAATAGTTTTACAATAAAAAAATAAAACCAATATATAATTACTATTTTTTAACTAAATTTAATATTATTATATCATATAAATATATGATATTTATAATTTATAAATATATTATAATATATTTATAATAATAATATAAATGTTTGTATATCATATATATTATATAATAAAGCTTTATGAAGAATAATTATTATTTTTTTAAAATAAATTTTTTTGAATAAAAGGAAAGTAAACTTCAAAATCAAAGCGTCAAAAACGAAAGTCTATTTTCCAAAACGAACAATGGACTTAATAAAAAGGGGTGACTGAAATTTCATTTCAATGGAATTCATGGATTCTTCAAATGAGATAGCGGCTATTCAATCTATATTTCCAAATATCTCTCCCACGACCATAAGTGACGTGTACACTCAGTTCAATGGAAATTACGATAAAGTTGTTGAGAAACTATTTGAGATTGAAAATGAATACACTATTAACCAAAGCTCATTACAACAATTTGACTCTGTGATCACTTCTTCGACTATTGAACCAGACAACTACAATTCATCTCACCTCCATGACAATAAGACTGGCGAAGGTCCAATTGTGCAAAAAAACATTTACTTTGAAAATAGATATTGTAATTAATGATTTATTATTGTTTATTATTTGTTTTATAACATATTTTCTATGAAATTATTTATTTCAATCCCGATTTATTTCGTTCCTAACACTTAAATGTATTATAATATTTTATATAGTTATTATATTAAAAATCTTTTTTTTAACTGTTTTTATTTTCAACACTATTTGGTTTTCACAAATTGAAGAAATAAATAAAACAAAAAAACTATATATATAGTTTAAACAAACTAGAGAACCCAATTTTCTTTAATAATAAACCAAAGAATAAATAACACACTTTTTGTTTTCTTTTTTTTAATAGAAAAGAGAGAAAATTCAGAAGTAAAACAAGACGAACTTATAGAAAGTGATATGAAGCAATTTTTTTAATTTACTGAACCATAAACAAACTAGAATCAAAACTCAACTGAAAAAAGGCTTTTTGAATTGATGGAACAGTCTGTTTCGTCTCGCGTGAACGAAATGTACCGAGACTTTTTCTATGGGAAGTTGTCTGTCGAGGACTTTGTCACACAGACCCTTGTGTTCAAGAACAGCGCAAACCCTGAAGAGAACGAGTTAATGATATTAATAGTCAAAACGGTGTTAGACGAATTTGGAAGGATGAACGTCTTCTCAAAACATGACACAGCTGTTCAATTTGGGAAATTGTGTGGCGAGATGGTTCGACAAAGGGTTGTCCGCAACTGTGCGTTAATTCATTTACTTCGAACGATATACTGGGCGTCATGCGAACCCCCACAGTCAAATTTCTTTTGTTGTGGGTCGACCGCACTTGCCCAATTTCAAGAAAGACTCCACGAGTGGCCCTCGTACTGCTACTTACTGAAAAGTAAGAAGAACATCTCGACCTTCGACAAGAACTTGTATGCAACAATTGTAGATTGTGCAAACAGTAAATTGCCAACAGTCATCTCCTTGATACACAAACTGTTCAATTCAATCGACTTTCAAATGAATTTGGACGTTGCAAATATATCAACTATTAAAGAACTAAGTCGGTTCATTGGAGAAAATAGAGAAAAGAGTCCTAACGAGTTAGCAAAGGGCGCAGAGGACATTTTTAAGAGGTACTTAACACAACAAAATCACAAGAAAAAGCTGTTTGAAATAGCTTTGTTCACAGCAGCTATAATGGACGAAGGGATACAACCAAGGTGCATTAAAGTATCTTTGACTATGTTGGGGAGTGTTGTCGCGATATCCTTTTTCACTGGAGAGGCTATCAAAATTATGAAGAAGTTGAAGGTCTTTGATCAACAAGAAAGTTACCTCTTCTTGTCTCTGGGTAATTTTCTCGGGTTATTGACATTAGGTCTCAACAAGCCGATCCGATCAAATCAAGTACAACTGCGGGCGATATTACGCGACGACACAACGCCTGAAAACATCGATGTGATTGTACGATTTCTCGCCAAGGTATTGAAAGGCGGTGTTGAATCGGAAGTATATAATGCGAACAACCCATTCATGGTACCACTATTGCAAAAGATATGCGAGTTTTCATTGTCCGAACAATTTGCTTCACTGAATAGTGAAGAGGTCAGAAATGTGATTTTGATGTTCAAAATCACCCCTGCGGAGTATTTAAGTCATCATCTGTTGAATCGAGAGAATGAAGAGATATCACGAAGTCTGATATTGATTGCTAAAGAGAGGAGTCGGTGCGATGGTGGTGTGTTTGCGGAGTTCACACAAAGCAAAACAGTTGTCCCCCTTTCACGATTGAAACAACTTTTACTCTCGGAGAAGTCACTTTGTTTTGACAGTTTGAGTCGTGGTGTCGATGACCCGATTCCCGAGATATTGATATGCGACTCGTTTAAAGAAGAGCACTGGAAGATGATGATTGACATTTTTCTCGATTTTTCAATGCAAGACATCTCGAAAGCCGTGAGTATCAGTCTGTCATTGATCATGAAAATTGTCGGTGAGATCATCCAAAAGGATTTTTGCACTGAGACGGATATCACAAAAATCGAGGAAGCAACGGGGAGAGTGTTAACCATCGCACAAAAGCCACTGTGGTCGACGTGTAAAAACTGTGTTGAAGCCAAATTGTGGAAATACATTTCGCAATTTGTGTTTTGTTCAGCGAAGCAACAAGAGTTGAATGTAGTGATGGATGTCATTCGCGAGACTGTCATGAAGGGATTGAATAAATATGTTGACAACGCTATTTCGATTAAGATGAATGAAGTGAAGAAAGTAGCTAAGAGGTATGTGAGTCAGTTTGTAATGAAGATGGAGGAGAGTCGGAGGAGTGTTGCAGGTCAAGATGCATCAGATTTTATAGCAGAGGGTTATGAGTATTTAGAGGAAGGCCCGGACCTTCCTGCGGAAATCAAAATTGCGAAAGGTGGAGTGACTCAACAGCAGATGGAAGTGTATGCGGGAGGAGTTGAGAACAACACTTACATGTGAACCCATAAAGAAATATTTTTAAATAACTGTGTACTTTTTACTGTGTTATAATTAGTTTTATTGAACTCGAAAAGTAATGGCAATTAATTGGATACAAATACCAGATGTAAGTGATAATCTAATAATTATATTAATTATATATGGTATACACTCTATAGATGTACAACTTGAATATATGGACTTAACTAAGTCGATATTACCTTTGGGATACGTTACATCCCCTTTATTAGTCTGTTTGAGTGGCGAAGTTATGTTACTATTTTTGGGTATTCTAATACCAAAGGACTTCTTTATTATGGTGGCTATACATTTCACGATTGGGCTTTTCTTAATCAACTACAGTCAACAAAACTTCAATGTGAAGCTTATAACATCATTTGTCTCAACATTTTTACAAGCGTACAAATTTTTGGTGTTTTATAATATCGGGTTGTATCGCTACGGTATCGTGGGTGCTATTATCGTGACGTTCGTCATCTTTGTCCTTCTCCAATTTGGTCTTTTAGCTTGCATCTGCATGCATACACCAAGACATGATCTTTCTAATACTTTAACTTCCCCAAAGGCGTTTTCGACACGATTTATACTCTATTTAATCCTTTGTACATTGACTGTAATGTCTTCGTTTATAACACGCCAATACACTTTATTTGTTGTGTGGGGATTCTACTTCGTTTTATATCTTAGAAAATGTTTTGTTCGTCCACATGCGCGAAGACTAGGAGGTAACTAGATGTTTCTTATTCTAATTCGATTCTTAGGTTAATGATGGTCTTGTTCTAGTTACTTATTAGAACTTTTTTTTAATAGTATTTTTATTATAAATTAAAATACTAATAATGTATAGTAAGATAAACCATATCAATTAAGAAGGATGTCAGTGAGCTTCTTCAAGAAATCGAAGGATGGTTGAGTCAAGTTGAGTCTTTTGAGGTCTTCAATTGCGTCGTTGTGGTGTTGCGAAATCTCCTTTCTCATCACTTCAGCCGGTTTTCCTCTGAGTATTTCCAAGAACTTGTCGGCCATTTCTTTATCGTCGAAGGCCTTCTCGTGCTTTGCCAACATTTCTTCTGTAAAAGTCTTCTCTTCAGCATTAAGAACGCCATCTTGAAGAGCAGTCCACACTACTGCTGTTCGCTTTCCTTCTTTAATATCGCTCCCGAGTTTCCTCATTTTACTGTTAGCGTCGATATCGATCAAATCGTCTCGCATTTGGAAGGCAATGCCAAAGTGATCGCCCCAAGACTGAGCTACTTTAATGTCCTCCTCACTTCTTCCTGCCAAATAGAGTCCGATAGACGCAATTGCCTTAAAGAAGATTGCCGTCTTAAATTTGACGTTGAGGATGTACTCATCGTAGGTCTCCAATTTGCTCATGTCGAGAATTTGGCCATAATTGAGTCCAACAAAGAGATCGACGACCTCGTCTATGACGTATTTTGGAAATCCAAAGCATAGTTTCATTGACATACAGTAGAGTAGATTACCGATGAGGACAGACACTGAAGAAGCAAAATTAGTAGCAGTGCTTGTGAAAAGAAACTTCCCTGTTATTTGGTCTGGACGTCTTGAGACGTATCGGTCAAGTAAATCTTTCACAACTGTTTTCTGGTTACGTCGATACTCGTCTTCATCCATCACATCATCCACGGCTAAGGTCGAGTCGTGCATTAATTCCATCGCTGCAGCAAGTCTTAATATTTTTGTTTTGGTTTCGGGGTCTGTGAGTTGCCCGCCACCTCCAATATAAAACGAGAGTAAGCCCAGTGGTCGCAATCGCTTTCCACTCCCCAACACAAAGTTTTCCATGACATCTATCGCTTCAGACTGAACAGCATTATGGCTATTCGCAGCTCGTTCTTCTACAAAAATTTCCTTCAGAACAGACTCCACCTCAGCTCGCAGAACCTCCATATTGGATTTGGAAGTTTGAGAGACAAATAACAATGGTTTTCAACGTGTCTTCGGCAATAGTTTAATTCTAATTATTTTATTATTTTATTCTAGTTCTTTACTGAAAGAAGTAACTAAAAAAAAATATCGTCTATTTAGAGAAAACCATTTTCTTAATAATTTTTTGTATGTTATTATATGGTTTATTTTTACTATATTTATAAAATTTGTTTTTAAACAACAAACTTGAGTAACAACATAGCAATGAAAGTGAGAAATGGTGTTATAACAAGTGTCTCACCAACATGGCGAAGGTACGGAATACTCCAATTTATTAAAATATTTATAAACATACAATACATTGATCAACAAAAAAGGAAACATGTTCTAACTATTACATTATAGTATTTAAATTATAATATAATAGTTTAAATACTTCACTTAGGACTGGAAGTGAAAAACAATAAATAAAGGAACTGTGTGGCTAGATACCCATTTTTGTCAGTTTGGTGTTATCAATTGTTTTTGATGTAATTTTCCACAGAGCCATTCACAGTCTCGGACTCAGTTTCTGCGAGTTCTATATGTTACTTGGTATTCCAAAGCGAAGAACAAACTTTCAACATATTTTGCGATGAGTGCGTCGATGTTATCTTGAGTGATCGCGTTTGTTATTTGGAGGTTCATAAGTTCGTCCTTCATCTCGCTAACAATTTTGTCTCTTAACCCTTTTGAGGTCACGGAAGAGTATGCATTATTCATGACTCTATTAATCAGGAAAACAGTCCATTCCAATAAATATATAGACAACAAACGACTCAGTCTCGGGAGAGGAAGTAAATTGTTTAACTATTTGATCTATTGTAAAGGGATCCATTTGGTTTTTTAGAGTTCTTTAACACGTAAGACTTCCAAAGCAAAGTAATACTTAAATTAACATCATTTTTTAATTAACGAGTCGTTTAAATTGAACTTGGAAACCGAACTCAATTCAATGACCAATATTTTTTCGTCAGAGGAAGAAGAGGATGTGTTTGGGATAAATTCTGCGAATATTGAAAAGAGTGGATTTGTGCCGGAGAGTGGTGTGAAAGTCGTGAAACAAAAAGTTGATAAGAAGAAAGACGCGACGGGGATTTTGGACATCTTTGGGTTTGACATCGCAACGAGTCAAAAAGAGGAGAAAAGGGATTTGGAAGAGTTTGAAGAAAATATGGAGACGTCCCAAGTTCAAGAGAAAACCAAGAAACCAATACCAAAAGAAGTTTGCGGAAGCGAAGACATCAAGAAGAACAAAATTATGATGGACGACGATTTGTATGGCGAGTGTTACCCTGTTATAGGAGGAAGTGTATTTGCTGATGTGGACAAAAACGGGAAGATCACTGGACAACACATTCGGACTGATTTTGAGGACAAACAGGAAGAAAAGAAGAAGAGGAGTCGGAGGAGAAGGAATAAAGAACGCAATCTTTTTAAAGAGTACGATGATGAGTAATTCTTTTGTATTGCACGGAATTTCTTTTAATGTGGTTGGATGCGATAAGAAAAAAAACACAAAACTATAAGAAATAGTTCATTAATCGTTTTACAAATGAGATAAATAAAGAAATAATTATAGATCTAATAACAATAATAAATAAATTATAATTCTTTTTTAAATAGTATATAATAATATATAATAAAACTATAGAATTAAGTAGAGTTGAATGAGTTAAAAAGTGAAGAGTAAAGAAAGTAAAGAACTTGGATTTATTTAAGATGTCTGCAGTGGGTACAGTGCTTGCAGAGTTCAAACTACTGTTGAACGATTTGAGAAGAGGATTTAGAAGAAGTGAAATACGAGGAGGGCTTGAAAGTGCCATAGAGATACTCGAGAACACCCCACCCAGTGATTTCTCAAATGGTTTGTCTGATATCATTTGTAATAGTTTAAACGAGTGAAAGTAGAAGACACTGATTAATAGTGTTTATTGAACAACAAATCAGCTTTGTTAATCCACTTGTGTCGTGTCTCACTCTTCACACGCCAAAGATATACTCTGACGCGATGAACTGTGTGTCGAAATTAGTGATTCAGAATTTGTTGACAATGGTTTGTGTTTTGTTATATATACAAAAGGATTAATAAGTGTTAACAAGTCACGTGAGTCATGTGTAGGAAGGCTATAAATTACTTCTCCCAGAAATGGTGTCTTTCTATGAATTTGATGAAGACCAATTTACACGAAATATTCAGGTTATAAACACAATACTAACAACACCACTCATCCTCGAAATGATCAAAGGCTCACTTACATCTGTCGCATTCAGTGCGCTAATTTTGTACTTTGAAAACTCTCCTGCTAATATAAAGAATTCCGTTTCCGTGACATTTCCATTCATTCTTAAAACAATGGCAGACGTCGCTAGTAACGAAATCAATGATGTCAAAGTCAAAAAAGGAATATTAGTGGAGATGAAAGAGGATTGGGCGATGACAAATGATATTTTAAATCTTTTTAAAGACCTGCAATTTCTCTCTGTCGGCGTTTCTCCGGAAAAGCTCACAGTCGTAACGTTTGATCCGACACTGTGTCTTAAATTGATCAATTGTATTCTTACTGATTATCCTCAACTGTTTAACGTTTGTTGTTGATCAAAATAATGAAAACTGAATGATTATAATGCTTAATAACAGATTCGAGAATTCAACCAAAGTCTCCAAACGTTGACTAACATTTTAATAAAACATTTCACCCTTCGGTCGCAGACATTAACGATGTGTTACACTCTCGTGATTTCTCTTTTAAATTACTCGGTCAAAATTCCGTTCTCAGTCGTCGTTCCCAAAGCGTACAGCGAGCCGTGGGAGGTGCAATCGTTCTTTGCAATATGTAACAATTGTATACACAAATCCCCATCACCAGAGCGGTTGATCAATTGCACAACAACAGTGAGCGGGTACATCGAGAACTGTAGTCCATCGCTTTACCCAAATGTGACACAGATATTATCAGATGTAATTTCCGTTGCGACACCAGAAGATGGCAAACTAATTTCTGTGATTTGGCCATGTGTCCATTATCTTCTTACAAATTATCAAAACGAAGACGTCATTTCTATGTGTATTCCACTGACTATGTTACTTCTCCACCAAAAACTCCACACGGCTCTTGTGGCAATATTCACACAAATCACTAAAATATCGGGGATCATTCATGGCTTCGTTGGAACACCAATTTCTCTTCACTGTCTAACAACGTTGTACACCATCTGTATGACTAACATTGGACTGTTTGGCGAGGAAGAGTTCATGATTGTTCTCCCCGTGATGGAAGCTGTCGGAAACTTATCTCCAATTCCAGAGAAATTGTACCAATTCAACGAACTTCCACATTTAATTGTCAACGAGTTGAGCAACGAAAGTATAGATTTGATGCTTCACGCATTAGGACACTTGTCGCGCACTGGGAGCGGGCGATATTACAGCCGCGAGTATTTTACTGTGATCAGAGCGAGGGGAGATTATGAAGGCGTGGTACATCGAAACATCGAAGACCTTATGATGTTTTGCACAAAAGAAGAGTGGAAAAATATGGCTGTTGATTTTCTTGTGGAGATGTTACGCGAACATTTGAGCGAAGGAACGATCTCAGTTATTGAGCAGTTGATGTGCAAAGGGAATAAAGAGTGTGTGAGTGTTGTTATAGGTGTGTTATCAAGCGTTATCGAAAGCATAGAAAGTGAGATGGGAGGGAAATGGGGTACGTTATTGAAAGGGATAGGAGAGAGTAGTGAAGAGAAAGGGAACATTGGTAGTTCATTTGGTGTGATCAAGCAAATAGCGGGACAAGTGAGTGTGATGGCCAGAGAAGAAGTTGATATACTTATTGAAGTAGTTGGCAGATATTGTGTTCAAAAACGGGACACGAATGTTTCATTGTCTGCAATTCAATTACTTTGGGATATGATGGAGAGTGTCGATGGGAATATTGATGATGAAATTAAAGACGTCCGTGTCATGAAAATTCTTCGTGAAATGAAGAGAAGTATTGGTGACGAAAGATATGTCATCTGGAGTGGCGCTGTTCAAACACTTTTACGAGCGCTTGGCAATATCATGAAAGTGGTTTCTGCGTCATGTTGGGAACAAGTGATCGAAGAGGTGTTGCTTCCTGTGCTTCAAGAAATTCGTAGTGATATCTACTGTCGTGTGAACAACGTTGAAATAGTTCCCGATTTGAAAATCGAGGAAGTCAAAATCATTTCGTTTGTAATTCCAATGATGAGAGAGTGGAATGACATAGTTGTAGTAGTCTTGGGTGGTCTGATTCGACTTGTTCCGTCTTTTGAAACATTTTCAGATACATTGAAGAAGAAGGTATATGAACAGTTGATGAAATATATAGTTGTGGCATTCTTTAAGCCAACGTACGTGACCGTCGAAGCTGTTGTAAAGTATATTGAAGTGATCAAAAAGAACACAAGAGGTGATTTAAATGTTGAGGCAATAAAATTGGAGAGGAGCGTTGCCCAGATGATATTTAACAATAATGGAATTAACACCTCTTTAATGCAGATGCTCACTAACTGTTTTAAAGATGACGAGAATCTTGTGACGGTTGCGTTGGGTATTGAGGCAATTACAGTGTTCCCAGACGATCACTATTTGGTGGAAAACAATTGGAGCATAGCCCAACAGAACATGATCACGTGGATGAGTGTAATCAATAAAGAGTGGAGTCCCGACGAACGCGTCGAGCTTGGAGAAGTCATGAAGAAATGCATTTTAACGCTTTTGAATTTGAGCTGCCCAAACCGTCGAGTGAATGACACGAAGTGGTATTGTCTGCCACGTCTTATTTTTATCTCACTTCGATGGAAATTAGAGATGTGGGATTGTATTAAAGAAGTCATAATTTACTGCACAAAACACATTGGAGAGGACGTTTCAGTGGTTTATACTCCAACAGTCACTTTGTCGGAGACTCGTGAAGTGTGTCTTAACCGTCTTGAAATTGGGGAAAGTTGGGAAAAGGTGAAGATCATTGGGATTGTATTTGATATGAATGTGTTGATGGTTGCGCCCAAAGGGTCTTTGTTTGACATTGACAACATCATCTGTGGAGAGTTATCACAAAAATGGATGAAGAAGGTCGTTGAGTGGTGTGACAGTGATGAGTTCACTTTGGAACAACGAATTTCCATGTTAGATGTGATACTTGAAAACTGCAGGTTTTTCGAGTTTGGCCTCAAACAGAGTATTTTTGCTTACGAGTCAATCGTCAAGTTGATGAACACAAACATTAGCAAAGAATTACTTCCAAAATTTGTTGTGATATTGACGAAGTGTTTTGATCGGTTTAAAGAAGATGAAGAGGCTACAGTGAGGGAGGTGTGTTATGTCATGGATGATGTCTTTACTGTGGTCATTGACAATTTTGGTGCAACATACCCAAGTGAAGTCAGTTCTCTTATCATCAATGAGATATATAAACTTACCATCAAAATGATTTTGAGCACAAATGGAGAGGTCAGGGTCTCTGCTTTTGCTGTAATGAAGAAGTTGTCGACTGTGATATTGAAATGATTTTGTTTTAATTCTTGCGTTTAAAATCTTAGGCATTTGATATTGCATTCAGAGTTTTTATTTGTGTATTAAAATCACCAACTCTCTGTTACAAAAATTCATTTTTTAAAACAACAACAACAGAAACTCAAATGTGTTACTGAGTGTTTATTAATTATTCTTTAACTATAATTTAACTATAAATAACCATTCGATAGTATTACCTTTGGACACTTGTATTTTTGGTTTGGTATTCCACCAAAAATGAAAACAGAAGAACAACTTGCACTTTTGGGTTCAAAAATATAACTCTGAAAGAACTTGACTGACCAAAGAAAGTGATGTTAGAGAAGTTGTCCACCGTCAAGCCATATTTAAAACCATTGTATCTTGGTGTGTGCTTTTTCCTCCTCTTTGCGGGGTATCAAACAACTCAAAATTATCAGTCAGGTATTAATGAAACAGATGGGTACATCTCCGTTGCACTCGTGTATGGCTTTTTTGGGATTGGCCAATTTGTGACGCCGCTTGTCATCTATTTTTTAACACCGAAATACTCACTCTTTTTTGCGGGCATTTTCTATGTCTTTTATATAGTGACTAATGTGTACTTGATTCGACCGTTATACTTTGTGGCATCAGCTGGTTGTGGTTTGGGTGCTGCTTTGATATGGTCTGCGGCCGCCGTCTTATTATCTGGATACGAGCAAGAGTGTCCAAAAGGCCCATTTTGTTACACTGCTTTTTACTTTCCGTATTACTCATTCTTTGTTGGGAACTTTGTTCCATTGATTATTGACCCGTCGAAGAAGGAGATGATGTTCATGGTGTTATCAATCATCGCTGCTGTCGCAGTCATCATGTTTTTGTTTGTTCAAGACTCAGAGCCAACACCACCAGAGTCCATTCCAAAAGTACTTCTTTCGACAGTGAAAGCGTTTATTATACTTCCACTAATGTTACTCTTCCCAATCGCAGTTTCTTTTGGTGTCTGTCTGTCGTACTATTACACCACAATGCCAGTTTTGATGCCAATCAATATGACTTCATTGATATACATTTGTATGGGATTGGGGATGATTATTTCTACGTTTTGTTGGGGGTTTTTAGTGCGGTTGTTTGGTGAGAAATGGGTTTTAGTGATACCGTTGTGTTGTTCAGTCATTGCTGGTGTCTTAGGTATTTTGCTTGAGGAAGTCGAAATGAATGAGACTGGCAAAAATGTTGTTGCGTGTTTATTAGGAGCAATCAGTGGGATATCAGACAGTGGGATTGACTCATTAATAACTGCGTTTGTTAATAGAGTTTGGCCGAAAGAAATAGCGCCGTTGTGTGCGTGGAGGATAGTGTATTTGCTTTCGATGTGTATTGCATTACTTTATTCGGCATTTATTAGCCGGACAATTGTTATTGGAATCGAAATTGGGTTGGCAGTCATCGCACTCTTTTCGATATTTATTGTAATCTTTTTGTATAAACGAGTCTTCCAACGCGTCGAAGATGAGAACAATGAAAAAGTCAAAGAGCTTGAAGAGAGCGACAAAGAGAAGAGAAGCGAACAAGTCCAAGAAAAGGAAGCAACTGAAGGGAAAAGCACAAGCACTGACAAAGAAATGAGTATTGAGAAGCCCGAGAGTGATCAGAATGAAAGTAAAAGCTCAATGAGTAGTGAAGATTTGACAACAATGATCGCAAACGAGGATTTAAGAAGTCAGGGGTTAATCGATCTTTAATTAATTAGTATCATTTTCAGTTTTATGAAAACCTCAAAGTCAATTATTAGATTTATAAACAAAACACTTTAAAACTGTATATATGAGTCTTTACAATGTTAAAGAAAGTACTGGTAAAGGTCGTGGTGTTTTTTTGAATACTGATATAACAGAAAAGACTGAAGTTGTTCACTCCAAATTAATTGGAGGGTGTTTGAATTATGTAGAATGGAAGTTTTATTGTGAATATTGTTTTAAAGAGTTAAAAGAAAACAGCAAAATATCGTGTGGTTGTGGGTTTAACTATTGCTCGATGGAGTGCCAGAAAAAGGCCTATGATGAATACCACAAAAATGAATGCTCTATAATAAAAAGCCTTCGTGAAATTCCAGATGGAATTGGAGAAATATTATTGCTTTATAGATGCTCTATCAAAACTGTGAAGTGGGAGGATTATTGCTCGTTGCCTAATATCAATAATTATAAGGCAGTTGAATACTGTGTTCTCCTCTTTAAATCAAATTCCAGTCTTTTAAAAACCATCTGGGAAGTTATACAAGCAAATAGTTTTTGTTTGACAAATGGAGAAGAACAAGTCATTGGTATTGGACTTTTTGACTACGCCAGTTTTATTAATCATTCATGTTGTCCCAACTGTGTGCCACTGCAAAATAAACGAGAGATGTCTATTAAGAGTCTGACAAGTATAAAATCAGGGGAAGAGATCTTTATCAGTTACATAGACATCACTGAGAGCTTTGAAAGGCGAGAAAAAGAACTTAGAAAATGGCACTTTTCATGTGGATGTTCTTTGTGTGAAGAAGACAAGAAGAGGTATCGATACCACTTATTATGTGAATGTGGTGGTTCTTTGTTTGTTGATGAAATTGGGCAATTTGCTAAATGCAAGACGTGTAAAAAAGTGTTTGAAGAAGGGGATGATAAATATGAAGATGCTTTGTATCAAATAAACGAATACAGAAACCTTGAGAATGACATCGACAAGCTCAGTACAAATAAACAATACGAACAAGTGATCGAAAAATTGAATGAAAATGTGAGTGTCATAACTTCTTTGATTGATGAAAAAGATGTAAGAGAACATTACAAATTCAATTCTATTATGTTCCACAGCTTTATCCAATTAAAGAAATACAACGAAGCTGCACAAGTTGGCAAGAAGTTGATGAAAATGGTCGGTTTGTTTCATAGTTAGTTGATATAGTTTATTGGTATTATAAAATAGTTCATATTTATTTTTATTAAGATCAATATGGTTTAAATGTTATAATAATATAATACAAAATGTAATAAACAGACACTATTTTCCCTTTACTTTACATAACCGGTGTTGTTGAACACTTTCATCTTGCAAAAGTATTCCGAATGTCTGGAGACGAAAATTTATTCCAAGAAGAAATTGAAAAAGTGAGACTTGGGATATCAATTTTAGACGACTCTCATTGCTTGGTTAAAGAATTTAATGAGTATGTCATTGCAATTAAATAAAATAAATCAATTTGTTGAGTCAACTTTTCTAGATTTTAAGAGTTTAAAATCAATTTTGTAATACAAAGACCAATCAACAACATTAATTATTGTTTGGTAGTAATAGAAATATTAATAGTATAATTTATTTATAAAATAATACGTTTTTACTTTTTTACATTCTTTTTCCATCAAATAAATATTTTTTGGACACTTATGTAATAATTTACTCATTATTTTAAAAACTTATATTGTAAACAACGAAAGGCGGTAATTGTTGACTTTAAAGTAAGAAACATAGGGAATTCTTTATTTTTTATCGAAAATAATATTGGGAGGTTCCTACATTTCTTTATTTTCAATTGATATATTTTGGAAGTTGACTACCAAAAATAGAAAACAGAATTATAGAATTGTAAAGCTAAAAATATAGAAACAAGACAAACAACAACCGAATTTCTTTTGCTTGTTTGAAACGAAGAGCAAGAAATGCTCTATATCAATGAACTGTAAACGACAAATTATATGGGAAAATTTGTCGTTCTTCCTTTTGTCTCTTCCATCTTTCTTCTTGTGAGTATTGGCTTGACAATCACATCACTTCCTTTGTCATGGGCAATGGCAAATGTACAAACCACAAAACAAAGTTATCAGTTTTATTTGTTGCACTGGACAAATGATGGGTGTAAAGACATCAGTACCACTGGTGAAGAGCTGAGCACAACTCGTCGATTTGGGTATTCAGACACTTATGAATTTTCAAAGTTAGCACCATCTGGTATAGTTGCTATGACATTGTTGATCACGTCTTGTGTTCTTTCTGGTATAACTGCGCTTTACTACTTGCTTCATGCTTGTGGGCCAACACAGAAGTGTTTGAAATCCATGAAATTGAATGTTGGTGGACGGACTTGGATATTATTAGTATTTGGTATAGTGAGTTTGGCAATCAACATTGTTGGGATGATTCTGTGGCTTGCTCTCTTCTTTGCAAACAACATATCGGAATGGTTAGCTCAAAGTTCTCCAAACCCGTTCATTGGGTTTTACATTGAACTTGGCTCCATAGTAGTAGCTGCTTTTGGTATTCTTATTGGTATGTTCTGGAAGCACAGTTAGGCTCTAATTTATGTGTTCTTTTCTTGTCATTTATAACATACAAACTCAATAAACTCAAATACAATGAGGAACAAATCACTTATTGGTGCCATTGATTGTCACAACGATTGTACGGCTTCCGCCGTTATCTCTGTGCTCGTTCAAGTATATCCCTTGCCACGTGCCAAGACATAAATCGCCGTTTTGAATCGGAATGTTGAGACTGCACCCTAACATTATACTTTTAATATGTGCCGGAGCGTCGTCATCGCCCTCGAGACAATGTTCGTATCTTTGCGCGCCGTCGGGGACCATTTTATTAAAAGAATTTTCTATGTCAATTCTCACCGCTTTAAATTAGTACGAAACACACTTAAGACGATTGACAAACTGGGGTCGTAGTTTTCGTTGATTGACAAAGACGCAGACGTATGCATCACTTTTGGTTAGTCTGTGCTCTGTGTTTTTTGAGTCATATAGTGAACAAACAAAATACGTTGCAAAGTCCTATTTTAATGTTTTTTAATTCCTTCTCGACACAGCCGACGACTTCTTTAGTTATGATATGTGACCCGCGTTTGCGTGAAATGTGAATTTCATTTTGGTACCAAATGACATTGTTTGCCTGTTGTGTTTTACTCATATACTTTAATAGTTTCTTTTGTTATTAAATAATACTTTTCTTGAAAAAAACTTATATTATACATTAATAGTATATATAATTATACATTTGTGTCATATAATTAAATTAGAACCCTTTATGTTTTATCGTGTTTATTGTTTGCTATTTTTTTATATGAGAAACTCATCTTACATATAGAGAGAATGTCTAAACATCCATTTCCAAGCAACTCCCCATGGAAAGACAGAGAGGCCGAGTATAAGGTATTTGAAGATAGCGTGTGTGGACTTATGAAATGTTGGTCAACACTAAGACTCACTGTAGAACACCAATTTGGTGGACAAGACTCGGAACAAAAAAAAGATTCGATGATTCAATCCATGTTAGCGCGGTATAAAAATAGTTTGTTTCTATGTTGTTCATTCATTTGGAATTGAACTGACCAATAGAAGGAAATACAATCAACCCAAACACACTCTGTGATACTCTCATAAGCTTTTTTGAAAACAAAATGTCAACAAGTGTTGAAGATGACATCGAAGCGGAAATACAGGACATTTCTAATTTGATTGGAAGACTTTGTGCCGAGTGTATTGTGGGAGAACTGACTTTAGCTAAACAAATAATCGAAGACGCTAAAAAGCCTTTAGAAAGCGCTGGGTTTGCGCAATACGTTGACGGTGATAACGATGATGACGAGGAAGACGAAGATGAGGACGATTGTTATGACGATCAAAATGAGGACGAAGAAGGGGAAGATGATAATGAAGACGGTGAAGAAGAGGATGAAGAAGAAGACGAAGATAATAATGATGATGATAATGAAGAAGAAGAAGTTGGTGACGAAGAAACAAACAACAACTACAAAGATGAAGAAAACAAAACAACAAATGAATGAATTAAATAAGAGTAAATAATCAGTTGAGTTTATAAACAAAGCTTGGTTATTGAAATAACGACACTTTTTACATTTAAACCTTCTCATCTGTATTAAACATCTTACTATAAATATATTAATAAATATATTAATAAAAATATTATTATTTTTTCAATTTCCAAAAAATTAAAATTATATATAACTTTATCATTTAAACTTTGTGAAAAAAACACAAAGAATTGGAAATTAATAGACTTGTTCATAACAACAAATAAAACAATATTTGAGTGAATAAAAAACAAATTTCAATTAAATGGTATTGAAATGTTATAGGGTTAGTCCCAAAACTGCGTTCTTTGTGATACTTTAAAATATTTAAAGTATCACAAATAATTCTTTTAATAGCATTTTGAAAGTAAAAAGAGCTAAAAAGTGTGAAAAAGGGTTATAGAGAGCATCACCAACTTCAAAAGAGGTTGTACAGGGATGACTTCGAAGAGACGCAACAACGGAAGAGCAAAGAAGGGAAGAGGACACGTCCAAAGCGTTCGTTGCACAAATTGTGGTCGATGTGTTGCAAAAGACAAAGCAATCAAGAGATACACAATCAAAAATATTGTTGAGGCTGCTGCCGTCAGAGACATTTCAGACAACTCCGCAATTGTCAAATACAAGTTACCAAAGACTTATTTGAAAAATCAGTATTGTGTTGCGTGTGCTATTCACGGTAGAATTGTTAGAGTCAGATCACACGAAGACAGAAAGATCAGAACACCACCAAAGAGAATCATCAAGAGATCAACTAAGACTACAACCGCAAAACCAACAGAAGCACCAGCTCAAGCTACCACTGCACCAGTCATCGCTGTCGCTCCAAAAGTCGCTGTTGCACCTAAGGAAAGACCTTTCAAATCCTTCCAGTAAATAAAGTCTGACCTGTTCTTCAGTTTCTAAGTTTTTTAATCGACTTTTGAATTTTTGAATGATAAACACCTGTTTTATTAGAAGAATAATATGTTTTTACTTTGAAAAGGAATAAACCAAGTCAACACTCTTCGTTATTGTCGAATGTTTTATATAACAGTTTTTAATAAAAAAACAAGTCGACAACATTTTTCTTTCGAAATCAAAGACGAATTGTCCAATTTACAGTTCATTCCATCTAATAATTCTTTTATTCTATACCAGAAAAACAACTGACTCTTTTTTGTATTTTCTTTCCTTTTTTTCAAGAACTGGAACTCATCCAAAATGTTCCAAAAATGTGTACTAATAATAACACAATCAATTTGTATACTATAATATGGGGACTATATTGATATAATTGTACTTTTGGATATTATAGATCTAAAAGAACGATTTGAATTGTTTTTATTGATATTTGTTTAGTAAAAATATGGTTTTACAAACGAGAAAAGCAACCGTGTTCCTTTTGAATTATTTCTTATTAATAAACCACTAACTCTATATATGTGGAACTGCTTAAATCAGTCCCACCTTTCACACAACATGTCATGGTTTAAAAAGAATTCAACAAAGCAAACAGTCGCAAAAGTTAACGAACGTATTAAAACCATCGAGAAAAAAGAGGAGTACGACAGACAAAGAATGGAAAAAGAACTTGCCCTTGCAAAGGCTTGTATGAAAAAGGGCGATAAGACGGGCGCTTCACAACACCTCAAGCTCAAAAAGCTCCACGAAAAGCACATGAACGAAGACATTCAACTTCGTTCAAATCTTGAAGGGCAGATCCTTGAAATCGAAGGCGCCAAAGTTAAAATCGACACCGCTAAATCCATGGCTGAGATGAACAAAACCATGACAAAGATCAACAAAGAAATGGACCCGGCCAAGGTCGAAAAAACAATGGAGTCGCTCAGAGAGAACAACGAAAAATCACACGAGGTCGGGGAACTGCTTGGTGAAGATCTTCAAGATGTCGACCAAGGGGAATTGGAGGATGACCTTGCTGATTTAGAAGATGAAGTGAAAGATGAGCAAGACGATGAACTTGCCCAACTTGAGGAAGATCTCCCAAAGGCCAAGACCAAAGTCACAAAAGAAAAGGCCAAGAAAGTCATGAGCAAAGCAGAAGAAGATGAATTGGCAGAGTTGATGTAACACCAACTAGTATTCAGTTTTCTTTTCTTTTTTTTGGTTTCTTCAAAATGAGGAAAATGCGGAGGGTAGGGTTTCATTTGCACAAGTAAAACGAATTGAAAAAGGAGTTGGTATTAATTAGTAATAAGAAGAAGCAAAAAGTACCTTTCTGTTACGCAATTATATAAGACTTCGTAATAAAAAAATCAATCTAGTCAAAATTCTTCCTCGGCTTTGTCTCGTGTCTAAACTTCTTGGCTTTGTTCTTTGCTTTGACCTCTTTTGCCTGTGCTTTGGAACGCTCTTCATCCTTTCGCTTCTTGCCAAGTAACGCCTTACTACGCTCACTATTAACTCTCTTCTTCTCTCTCTTCGCGGCACGAATCTTCTCCACACGCTCCTTCTTCTTGTCGAGGTATTTGTTTTGGTCTTTGTGATACGGTCCAAATCGAATTGTTCGATTGAGTAAAGTGTCTCCATTGAATCCGTACACCTTTTCGACGTCTTCTTTATTCTCAAATGTGACAAACCCAAAGCCAGAGCACTGTTGGGTCTCTTTGATTCTCAGCAAAGCAACACGCTCAACTTTCAACCCTTTGCCGTCTAACCACTTCCTCACATCTTCTTCTTCTGTTTCTATTTGTTATTCTATTGGTATTAATTACTATAATTATATAATTAATGAAACGTGGATAACAAACTGTATGGAAGACCAGCAATAGTCACTGTTCTTTTAACACCCCGGTGTTGTCCTTTGTTACTCATAACATCAGCACGCAGATGAAACCCTTCATAAAAGAGTCCATCAAGTTGGTTCGCGATATTCTCTGCAGTCTCCGGATTCTTGAAGACAGCAAACACACTGAATGTCTTTTTCACGTCGTTACATTTCATGTTGGCGTAGGTGTAAAACCCGTGCGTTGGGGTGTCTACGTCACGTGCTACACATCGAATCCTGTACGACACGACACGGCCAAAAGTGCGCAAGAAAGTTCCGATTGTTTTATAGTCGAGTTTTTTATTCACATTTTGAATGAAAACAGTGCAATCGGCATCTTTGGCATGACGAGCTTCGCGTTGTGCATCTTTCTCCTTTGGCGTTAATTTCTTTTTCTGTTCAGATTGTTCGTCTTCCGAAACAGAAGAGTCGTCGAACTTAAATGTGTCTTTACCTCCCAAAACAAGGTCTTCTTCTTCTTCGTCTTTATCCTTTTTACTTTTAGTCGCTTTCGCCTTGTCCTCGTCTTCAGAAGAACTCTCTTCTCCACTCAATTCCTCTTTAACTTCTTCTTCAGAAAATGAGTCGTCGTCTTCCATCTTCATTTGGGCGCCTTCGGAGTCATCGTTTGATTTATCTAAACTATCAGAAGAGTCTTCACTCTTGTCATCATCTTCATCCTTCTCTTGCATCGTTTTAAATACCTTTTTAGAAGACTTCGCTCGACTCCCGTGAAGTCTGTCTTCTTGGTCGATTCGCAAAAGTCTCTCAAGGGTTGTTTCTCCCTCATGAGGAAGAAGGATTTTTTCTGTGGTTTCTTTTTTAATGTTTGAAGAGAGGACGGAAGTCTGTTTTGGTTTTTCCGAGGGTTTTGAATTCTTTTTAAAGTAGGAGTTTCCCCAAAGAGACATGTTTAATATCTTTTGGTGTTCTTTTTTTGATTATTTTTAAAACATTTCATTACTTAATTATATTATATATATGATAAATATTATTATTTATTTATTATATAAACCCTCTCTAGTTTTTAATTAAAAATTAAACCTTTTTAGTATCACAAAACTCTAAATTATATTAATTATTTTAATTGAAAAGTATTCTATAGACTTCGTTTATAAAAAGTTTGAGTTTTGAACTGAAACTGTTGCAATTGGTAAAAAGTACCTATTTAAAAATTTAAAACTCAAAAACACGAGTTTATTATGTCTAATAAGTTGGAAGAGTTTTTCATGATGAATGTGGTACTTTACATAAACTCATTTAAGGCACTGCGTGCGTTTGTAACTGTTAATAAGAAGTGCAAAAAAGTAATGGAACGTCTACAAATCAATCCAGTTATACAAGAGAATGTACACACCAATTATTATAAAGTTAATGTGTATCAGAGATACCTTTCTGAACACTATACAAAAGACATTCTAAAGTTGTTTCCAAACATTAAAACATTACATATTCCTTCATATCGAATCCAAATACAAGAGGAGTTCTCAAGTCAAATCAAGTATATTAAAGTGTCAAATTTGTCGGAGAGGGAATTTACTGTAACAAATGATTTTATTCTCAACAAGGTCGAACCGTTCCCAATATGTTCAACACACTTCCCCTTTGAAACATTACATTTCAAGAACATTTCAAAATTCCAAAATTTTGTTATCCACTCAAGAGAAACACTTGACTTCTTTTTAAGAAACATCCAAAAATGGGATAATTTGTTGGGTGTGACAATAGTCGTTCCAGAGATCGATGAATTCACTGAAGATGTTGAACAAATTGCACTGAAATTTCTCTCAGACATTGACAAAAACGTGGATATGTTTTTAGAGCTTCACAATTTGGAACGGTTAAGAATTTTTTCAAGTGGAAAAGGACAACTGAAGTACTTTCTTCCACTCAGTTCTGCAAAAGGTGGGCTTTACTTGGAAAAGTTTTTGTATTTACGAAATGAAGAGCTTTGTGATTATGAGAATGAGATATTTAGAAAGATCAAGACAGTTTTTAAAGTGATGCTTCTTGGGATCAAAGACTTTGAGAAGTACAATGACTTGAATGTGCCAGCATCTTTTAATAATGTTAATAAGAGTATAAACATTGAAGAGAGAGAAGTGGAAGGTGTTACCAAGTATGTAAAAATGACAAACAAACATTTTGATAAAATTGTAATTACTAAGAGTACAACAGACGATTTGAACATTTCACAAATTGATGTAAGGACTGTTGTGTTAGACTTGCCAAGGACAATTTATTTTAATGTTGAAATACCACAACATTTAGAAAATTTTAGTCTTAACCGTGGTGAAAGAGTTCAGGTGTTATGTTCACATGAAACTCAAATTGGAATATCAAAGGAATTGCAATTTAGGTACCTCAGCGATGTTCCATTTGAGCAATTTTTCGGTCTTCCAGAATACTTTGATGCAATGTTTAATAGGTACAAAGCAATGGACGAATTTGAAAGAAGGATGAAAACGGAGGCTGTATTTGAGATAGAAAAATTCAACAAACTAACCACAGACGAGCAAGACAATTTCAGAGTGTTTGTTGAACAAGTAAAAGATTTAGAAGTATTTATGTGGAAAGACTCCGATTATGTAGTTGTTGAAAAACAAAAGTTTGGTGTGTTACCACAACTCATTTCCAACGGTGTCAACTTTGAAAGGATATGTTCTTGTGAAATTAAAGACTCAATCGCTCTTTTTGGAATTCCGTTTACAATAACTCGAATGAAAATTGTTGAAGCTCCAAATAGTATAATCCGTTTGGACAGTTACAACATCGAGTTTCTTGAGTGTGAGAACTGTTTGAGCACAAAGGTTTACTTAAACACAACTGTGAAATCGATTGACTTGTTAAAATGTTATGGCCTGAGGTTGGAATGTCGCAAAGGAGTTGTGACGTTAACTCATTTTAATTCGTACTGCTCATGGTGCACATCGGGCAAAAATATTGTAGTTGACTATCTTGTTGAATATTCAGAACATTATGAAGATGAACATTACTTACCTGATAATGTGGTTAATGGTTTCAATTATATCAAAGGAGTTCGTTTCAGAGAACCAGCCAGAAGTTATGAACAGTGGGCATGGACCAGTCCAGACTTGTGTGGCATTCCAAAAATCGCAGCAAATATATTTGAAGATCGTCTTTACTACAAAGAAGATGTTAGTGTTGCTATGTTATATCTCAAAGAAATTGGGGATTACTGCTTTCAACAAAGCAATTTTAATTATTGGGTTGACATGAAATTTGCAGACTCTTTAACTTCTCTAGGAATTGGCGCATTTTATGAAGCAAAAGGAATCACTTCTTTGACGTTGCCAAGTGGACTAAAAACATTGCCTTATAAAGTCTTTTATAATGTGAAGTCACTCCGAATCATTGAGTCACCCGTTAATGAAATTGAAATTGAAGACTACGCACTCTATGGATGTGATTCGCTCGCCAAACACCCCAAATTTGTTCCGGCTCAGACTGCAAGTCTTTGTGAGAGGTATTTAGTGAACTTTTGCCAACTTAAAAGCATTGAAGTGAAAAATAACATCAAAGCTTTGTCACTGAGAAATTATGCAAACTGCACTTCCCTTACAAAAGTTATTTTACCAAACTCTGTAACTTTTATTAATGACTATGCATTCATAGGATGCTCTAATTTAAGAGATATATCCTTTTCAAAAAGCGTTGTATTTGGCACTCATTTGTGCTTCGCCAATTTGCCATTTTTGAATGAAATCCGCCTTCCCACAACACTCACCAAAATTAGAAATTTCATGTTCAAAAACTGTAAGTCACTGTCTTTTATCGACATCCCAACGTCCATTCAAAAGATATGTGATATGTCCTTCCACAATTGTTCCTCACTTACAGACTTAGTTATTCCAGCTTCAGTCACCAAATTTGGGGTTTTGTGTTTCAAAGGTTGCTCTTCTTTAACGTCTCTTCATTGTTCCTCTTCTTTCCAAGCACCACAGCACATTTTGAAATACACAAATGCAACTTTTTCATTTTATTGAATGAGTTTTATTTTCATTTAAAAGACATTTGAAATAATTTGATTTCCAACAAAAAATATTAAAGTGACTAAAAAATGAATGGAAGTGCTCAGCAACACCCCGAGCTTTGTGGTTGTTGTTTTTGTTTCTCTTCTATCGGCAATTTCTTCAGACTTCCTCTCGTCCCCATTTCGGGGTCGAGCTTATATGCGTCTGCCAAGAGGGTTTCAAACATCGTTTGGATATTTGTTCCTTCTTTCGCCGAGGTTTCAAAGTATTTCATCCCAAACTTGTCAGCAAGTGCTTGTCCTTCTTGTGTAGAGACTGCTCTGACTTCCAAGTCCGCTTTATTTCCACACAGTATTGTTCCATATTTAGTATTTCCTTTTTCTTTGACATCTGCTATCCAAAATGATATTCCTATTAATTAGTATTTAATTAATATCATATATTAATTATATGTTAGATATTATAACACACCTTCAAAAGACGCTCTGTTCGATACATCAAACACAAACACTACACCATTGACATCTCTGTAACACCCGGCTGTTACATTTCTGAATCGTTCTTGTCCAGCTGTTTGTTATTCTCTTTGGTATATGAACGAGTCTTGTATCGACTCTGTTTTATATGTATATAAAAAAAGTTATATGAGTCACAAACCAGTATCCCATATCGTCGCTACAAACTGCGCTTCCTTCAATTTGAATTCCTTTTTACTCCAATCTGCCCCAATAGTCGCGACATACGCATTTCTGAAAATGTCATTGACTAACTTTTCAATGATCGACGATTTCCCAGTCCCACTCTCACCAAGACAAATCAACTTCGCGTTCACTGTTGGTTTGCCTTGTGTGACGGGGGTTGTTGCTTTCACCGACTTTCTTAGAGCTTGTGGGGTGTCTTCCATTTTTTTGTCAGACTGCAATTTTTCAGTTTTTACTTCGACTTTTGTATTTTCAGTTTTTGATCTTCGCATTGATTTTGGTCGATGGGGGATTATTTGAAGTGGCTCGTCTCCTGTTGATTCTTTATTTTGTTCTACACTCTGTTGTCGTTCTTTTGGTGTTTCTTGAATTGACTTCAAAGTCTCTTTGACTTCAATTGGTTGTTCTTGTTGCTTGGAAGACTCTTCTTTAACGGGTTGGTCTTGTGTCTTTGTAACAGGTTGTTCAAGGGGAGGTTCCCCTTTAGTTTCTTGTTGACTGTTTCGTTCTTGAAGCTTCTTTTCCAATTCATCAGTCACTGTGTTGCCTTTGCTTTGACGTTTTTCTAAAAGCTTTCGTTTCCACTCTGGAACTTGTGCAGGCTTCATCTTCTGTATGCTTATTACAGATCTCTTTATTTGAAAACAGGTAACATGTGAATCAACATGATTGATTGAATTAAAACACTTAACTATAAATGATAGCAAAATTAATTATAAAGTTTAATTGATTAGTTATATTTGATTATTGAAAGCATTAATTTTTAGAATACAATTAAATTCATATTTTTCATTTTAAAAAATCTTGGTATTTATAAGTTTTTTCTTTTGTTAGTAAAATAATAATTATTAAATGATGGATAATAAAATGAAAAATAAAAATAAAATTCATTTTATTTATTTATCTTTAATATCATAAGTATATGTAACTAAAGAATAATTATAATTAATAGTTTGTTTCGAATAAGTTGGAAACTTTGATGTTTTTATTTTTTTTTATTTTTAAATACATATTTTTTAATTATATTTATTATTGAATATTAATAAAAATTAACAGTGTTTTTTTATATAAAACAATTTTTATTAGTTTATGTATTTTTTATTATAAATATTAGTATAATAATATTTTTTAGAATATTTTTAATTGATTTATTTTTATTTATTATATGTGTAATATTTTTTAGTAGTTTAACACTTTCACAACTTAAAACTTTTTTAAGAAGAAAAATAAGTAAAAAAGGAAATTGTCCAAATCATTTTTTATTATTTTTATTCCAAAACCCCTTTCTAACTCAAACCGGCCAATGTCAGTTTTATTTTACTTAAAATAATTAACAAATGAGAACTCAATTACTTAAGATTGATCAAAAATATTCTTTTTGGACGAAATTTCATATCGCTTTATTGTGTTACAACATTAAAACAAAAAACGCTACATCGTCAATCCACTTTATGACAAACAATGTCAAATAGTCGCATTAACAAATATAACGACAATATAAACACCAATATCGTTATAATCAAATGACAATATTCTCTTTATAAAAAAACAACCAAATATATCAAACCATCATTAGACCCCATCTTTCTTTTTTAAGCTTTGCTCTTGTTTTACACAAACAAACTCATTCACTTTAAGTGTGACTATAAAATATACAATTCAAATTTAAGTTGATAAAAAAATAAAAAATTTCAAAAATTTGTTTTGTGTATGAAGGCAAAAAAAGGGTTTAGGTAAAAGAAAAAAATAAAAACTTATTATTATTACGTTTCTGTTTTGAACTTGTTAAGTTTTTTTTAACTTTTCAATTTAATAAAACTTAAAAAATTTAACTTTAATTTACCCGCCAATTAAAATGATGTTTCTTTATTAATTTTTAAAAACTTAAACCAAACCCAAATTATATTTCAACAATTAACAAACTATATTTAATAAAACAAAATCTTAAAAAACGAGTTGGATTATAAGCATTTTTAAAGCTAATAAGTTGTAAAATGAAACAAGTAAAATACAAACAAAAATGATAATAGGATTAGATCCCGAATATTTGCTCACAATCTCAGAAAAGGGAACACAAAAAAACCACTTTTTTTACTCACCAATTTTGGAATAACAAAGGTAGATACAAAAAGTTTTTATCTAGCAAACAATTTCAACCCATCAAATCGGGATATTAGATTTAATGAAACTAATAGCTTATCATTTTTTTCTGGGCAATAGACCCCAATAATAACAACGGTCTTTTCGACTAATAACGTTCTGCAAAAGGTGAAACATGAACTGAATAAGTGAAGATGTCTTGGCGGTGCGAGTTATGTGGAAAGCCTGTTTACTTTGCAGAGAGGAAACAAGCAGAAGGAAAGGACTGGCACAACATATGTTTCACCCAGTATTACAAAAAGAAAAGACATGATGAGTGTGAAGTAAACAATGCTGAATATAAAAAAATATGCCCAGAGTGTGGTGAAGTCCGATTAGACAATGAGTCAAGATTTTGTGCGAGTTGTGGGTTCAAGTTTCAGTGATTTAGTGTCTTTGAAGTGTCAATACAGCAAGTCGTTTTTGTTTCTTTGGTTTATCTGCCCAGACTTTTCATCCTTTTATTTAGCTATATTCAAATAGAACACTCAACTAATCAAATCTTTTCATTTTAAAGTCGATTTGATGAATAAGATTCTCAAGATAATCTTGATCCAGTTATTATCTTCATTTTCATTAAGATTTTATTTGCGTTTTAAGTAAATTAATCTTATTATTTCTAAACTATAATAAATCACATTATTTAATTTCATTCAAGGATAAAGATTTAATCTGATTTTGTATCAGTTGATTATCAAGTTGGATCAAACTAAAAATAACATTGACACAATTGATTAATTAAATAATAAAACTAATTATATGAAACTAATAAATTTGACTTTTAATTATTTATAGTGATACATAACCAATAAATTAATAATATATATATTAAAAAAAAATTAATTAAATATTAATTTATTATTTATTATAATTAATTATTAATAATTATTAATAATATTTACTAAAGATATTAGTATATTTTTTATCCTCAAAATAGAAAGAATATTATACTAAAACCAATAAACTACTATACTTATACTTGATCAATATAATAAAAATATCTATATAATATAGTAATAACATTGTAAATGTCCATATACATGTTGTTGATAAAATGAATTATTTGGAGGTGTATTTTTCAGTGACCAACTTACGAACAGCATTGTCGATTTCATTCAAATTAGTTTCCATTGTTTTCCCGACTATTTCCAAATTGCCAAGTTCGTTGAGGGTATCTTCAAGGTTTTTAATACTTTGAGTCCACTGTCTTGTTTGTTTCGAAAGTGCAATTGCGTTGATTTGGAGTTGTTTTGTTAATGCCTCTATCTCCGTTTCGTTGTCAATCAATTTTGCAACAGGAACGATTGAATTATTTCGAGTGTTCACCATTAACTCACCAAGACTACGCGACGCTTTCTCACGCAATAAACAGTTTTCCGCTCGCAATTTTTCGCTCATGTTCCGATGTTCAGCCACAATAGACTCCATCCTTTTATTTCTTTTTCAGTTTCTCTCTATATTATTAGATAGTATTTTTTTAATTTATTAAACTGTTTTTTTATTATTTACTTTATAATATAATTACTATAAATCAATTACTATTTTATTTTTTCTAATAGTTAAAATAATAATATTAATAATATTATCAAAAAAATAATTTATTAATTATTTAATTATTTATTATTAAAATAAATTGTTATTAAAAAATAAGTCTGTATAGTTTGTAGTATAATTTCGAATAATTAATTATTCATTAGCATGACTTTTTAGTTATAAAAACCTCATACTCAAAATAAGAAAAATGAAATTAATTTTCTTTAATAAAAATACCATAGATCATATTATAAATGCTTTTTCTATTTACAACACTACTAAAAAATGTAGAGGAAGTCGCTTGAATTCTACTTTGGAGATTGTTCTCTCCTCTTCAATATCCAACACCCATCAAACAAACTGAAACTCGTTATTTAGAATGTACCGGTTCTTTGAAATTCTCCTTTCTCCATTTACTAACATCTTTCCCAAAGGGTTTCCGGTCTCGAAGTTGATACCATTACTCATTCTACAAATCTGTGAATCGTTTGTCGGCAACTCGATTGGGTCGTACAGTGGATTTATGGTCATGGACTTTGGGATGGTTTCCGAGACCAACGATGCGGGGTTTTACAGTGGTTTATTGTCTGCGAGTTTTCAATTAGCGCAATTCATAAGTAGCTTCTTCCTTGGTGTGTTGTCCGACAACATCGGGCGCCGGCCAATATTGTTATTTGGTTCATGTGGTTCGTTTATCGCGACAATCATGTTTGGGTTTTCGTTCAACTTTTGGTGGGCTGTAGTTTGTCGCTTTATCAGCGGATTTGTGAATGGGAATATCGGTGTGATCAAGACGTTCATGGGTGAATTTTCGAATAAAGAGAATCGTGCTCAGGTGTTTGGGTTGATAGGACTTACGAATGGATTTGGGATGATTATTGGGTCTGCACTGGGTGGGTACTTAGCCCGACCATGTATTCAATACCCAAAGGTATTTGGGGGTATCACATTTTTCGAGACGTTTCCATATATCCTTCCCAATATCGTGTGTGCGTGTTTTACTCTCATAGGAGTCGTGTTGTCATTCTTTTATTTGCAAGAAACCAAACCCCGCGAGAAGACGACTGACCCGTGGTACATAGATGTCTTGACTATCATCAAAAAGGTTTACCAACGCATGATCGCAATATTTAAAATGGCGTTTTCAAAGGAATACCAAGGGTTGTTGTGTTGTGTGATGTATGGAATTATAGGTACACAGGCTGCCGTGTTGTGGAGTATCATACCTTTACTCTTTATGGCTAGTGACGAAGTCGGAGGGTTCGGATGGGGGACAGACCAAATGGGCAATTTTGCGATGGTCTCTGCAATAGGCATTATCGTCACACAAATGTTTATATACCGTCCTGTCGTCAATAAAATTGGTGTCTTGTGGACGAATCGAATTGGTTCCATCGGGAGTGTCTCGATGTTCCCTTTGTTCCCAAGCATCCACTACCTTTCTAAGTATGGGAAAATCGTCATGTGGTGTGGGATAGTACCAATCAACCTTTTTACACAAATGACCAACCAATTTTGTTTTGCATCAGTCATGGCACTCATCGCTAATAGTGTAAAGAGCGATTTGTTGGGCACTTTAAATGGTCTATCGCAGTCCATGGTCGCATTCTTAAGAATGGTCGCTCCATTGGGATCAACACCACTGTTTGCTTGGTCTCTTGGTAATCAATTTCCACTCAACATATACTTCCCTTTCTTCTGTTTCATGGCGTTCGGGTTCATCGATTTCTTTGCGTCACTCTTCTTGCCAAAGTCAATCAATTTCCCGAAGGAGGAAAGCTTGGGAAAAGAATATAAACAAGTACCAGAAGAAGAGATGGACAACAACAAAGAGAAAGATGGGCAATCCCCGAAGATTGATACTGAAAAAGAAAATATTAAAGAAGAACAAGACGTCGCATTCTCGGGAAAGCCTTCACCATTCGTGGAACAGAAAGATGTCGATTTCGAAATACCATTGCCTGAACACTTGGATGACGAAGAAATTGAACTTTGAAATTAATTGATTCTTATTTATTTTATTTCAAATATGCCTTATTGAAGTAAACAAGGTATATTATTGTTCAAACCAAGGGCTTGTTTTACGATTAGTTTTTAAACATAAACTAAGTGTTACAACTGTTAATTTGTTCATTTTTATAATATTATGTTTTGTTTCTTAAGTTCACTCTGTTGTGTTGTTATCAAGAGATTCAAAGATAATTGTTTTTTTTTGTTCTAGTATGATAAATTGTTAATGTTATGCTATATCATCAGTCAAAACCTCGATACAAACAAATTAATTTATGAATCAACACCCAGCATGAAGTCACAACTGGGTATTGAGGCATTAGAAAGGTAAACCAAACCACAATTGTTTTTAATAGTGATATGTTCCATTCTATTTAATTGGTTTTGACTGAGTGATTCTCAGTGTTTATCCCCAAATAAACAATGCCCTCAAGTGTTGTTATATTTTGAATTTTCTGTGATCTTGTTATAATTTTTTATTGTACATTTTAGTGGCAATTTTGGCTTGTTCTTTTCTTTATTATACAATTCAATTGATCTTTGTATATCCTTCTTATCATTTGTCGTCATAAAATGCTTTGTTGATGGCATTTTTGTAACCCGTATAAACCAGTCTAATGAACGTATTGATGTTGTGTACTTCAGTGTTTTATGGTTTTGTATTTATAAATTTTTTTTAATCAATTAAAACGAAAATTCAATCAATTATAAATTTAATTGATTGGTTCATTGAATAAAAGTAAATATAAAAAAATTAACAACAAATTAATATAAAAAATTGTGAATTATATTTTTTAAATGAAAAAATGGATGAGCAGTTTTTATCGAAATAGGACGCTATATTCCCGTGCCGAAATCAAAAGAAATCATGGAGTTGAAATTATTAACAACAATATCGTTACAATAATATGTTGGCATTGTAGACATCAAGAAATTGATTGTTGACAAAAATGAAAGCCAACTTGCAAAATAAACTTTTATAAATAAAAACTAATTAGCCCAATATTCTTAAACAATATAAAACATTGGTCGTTCAACGTTTTCATTTTTTTGCAATCATAAGCGATTTATAAAGGTTGAACATATATGAGGTCAAGACTTTTACACAACTTTTTAATTAATTAATATTATAATCGATTTGATATTTTTACTAAGATAAAAAGGTAGATTAGGTGTTGATTGGTTGGAAAGGAAACAAAAAATTTGGCATGTACAACATATTCCATCTGTTACTAAGACTATCAATCAATATAAAGGCATTGATATTACAAAACATCAATTTATCAATAACTATAAATAAAGACTTGTAAAAAAGAAGAAGTTGAGACCACTGATCTTGTTGTAAAAACATTTGACGTCCGTTTTCTTATAATTGACAATGGTACATTTGAAGTGAAGAAAACAAATGGAAACACACACAATAGTAGTGAATATTTTAACAACACAATACTCATTCACTTTATTGCAGAGCCCAAGAGAAAATTATAAATAAGACATAATACACAACAAAGAATCCTTGGGCAGTTTGAGTTTTTTTTTATTAATAACAAAGCGAACTAAATGTCATTTACAACAATTAACATCAACCAGCCTTGTGTTTCATGCTTTGACTTTTATACATCACTTGCAATGAATAATTTGAAATCAAACAAGACTTTTTAAACTCGGTAATTGACTTTTGAAAAAGTGTTTAATGACTTCAAAGTGAACACGGTTCTCACCAAGAAAAAGGTTTATTGTTGTTTTAACTTGTAATCATTTGGTTAATGAGTTTTGTATAATGAATACCATTTGTAATTTTGTTTTATGTTATGAAGTACAACCAATACAAAATAATGTTACGTTAAAAATAATTATATCCATTTATCATTTTATTATTTATATATTATTAACATATTATTAACATTAAATAAAATAAAACAATGTAATCTATCAATAATATCTTTGTGACTCTTTTTTTTGTGTTTTTTTATCCCCATTTCGTTTTTTTTTCGTTTTTTTTATATTTTTTTTTTCATTCTTGTTTTTTTTTCTTTTTTCTCATATATAATCATCAATCTTTTTAGTGTATTCATTTTTGGATGTTATCATTCTAGTTTTGTTATACTCAATACATTTGTTGTTCTAAACTGTTTTTGTAATTTGTGTATTTTTTTCATTGGTTTCATTAATTCATTTGATAAATTATCCTTTTTCTCGACTTGAATTGCGCCACTTTTTGGACCAAATCAAATTGTTGATATTGGTAAGTCGTGATTGACTTGTTTAACGTCAGTCTTTTCATAATTTCATTTGATATTTTTTTAGAACACTAATAAGGGAAGACTTTCAAAGTCTTTATGGCACACCCAGGCGCTTATCATATTTACCGTTTTACCAATGACAATAAGATTGTATTTTCCAAAAGCAAGCCATTTGATTGTAAGCGCCTATACTTGCTTTGGATATATGAGTGTATGAGGGATCACAAAGATACATTGATGATTACATTGTGTTGCGTAACTCTCTCTAAGCGGTTAGTTTGTCCGATATGAAAAGAAAGAAACAACTTATTCATCATATGTTTATAATGTTAAATTCTTGCTTTATATATGGCTGTATTTTCTCTATTTTTATTCTTTGTTTTTTTCATAAATTTATAATATAAACAACCATATTCTATACTAAAATACAAGTTGGTTTTATCTTTATATCTGAAATCATTGCTTCTCTATACAGGGTTTTGTTGTGTATTCAAAACATGTTGCATTGTTTGTGTTGTTTCTAATAAAAATTGAACCAAAAATACTCAAATTATTTATTCTGTTCACCCTCACATTACTCAAACAACGCAGTGGTGTCTCTTTTGTCACCAATAAACAATCATTTCCATTGTATTTTTATTTTTAACTACTAAAAATACAATTTCTATTTTAAAAACACACCTTTTGCTTTAAACATAATTATAAATGTTATTGTTTTTTGTAGTTTTGTTAAAGTCAATTTTTCGTGTGAATTTTAGGTTTGTTTAAAATCAAATTCTACTATTTTTTTATTTTCGAGTTTATTATATAAGAAGTGTATTTTTGTGATTTTCTTTAATGTTAAAAAATCTCCAAATAACTGTTATTTGAAAAGTCTGGAATTAAAAATTGTCTATCAAAACCACCTTAAATAATTCCAACCTTTTTGTCAAGTTAAACAATTAAACAATTTGTTCTCAATTCAGTACAAATATTACAAATAATAATATTGTGGTATTATTATTATATTATAATTTCATACCTATATATAAATAAAACATTATGACAAATTCAAACAATCAAACAAAAAGTATAATTCTTTCTATTTATAACAAAAAAATAAAACACAACGAAATAAAAACCAAGACTTTTTATTGAATATAAAAAATAACACAATTTAATTGTTTTTAAAGGTAATTGATAAAAAGTACAATATGTAAATGGTTTGAGATGATTGAAAAAAATAAACATATTTTTGTTTGTTATGTTTTATAATTAAAAAAAACTCTACATATTTTTTATATTCAGTTTTAAAATTATAAGATTATATTTTTTTATGTATTGAATTGTTCGACAACTATTTTCTTAGATTTATCCACGAGACAAAGAGTGATAACAACAATGCCTTATTTTATTAAAATTGTAAATTGTTTATCCCAATAAGCAAGTTGTTCGGATCTATTTTCTCTTGTTTGCAAAATGAACACCTTTCTTGTCAACAAGAAAAGTGTTGTATTGTTACAAATGGAATTCATTGTATCAAATAAATGAATTGATGTACACTTAAATTTGTCATTGTGTATAAAGAGATATTTCACTTTACAACCTTTTAAAATTTTATTCGACTCCTTTTATTTAGAAAGTAAGTATTATTAAAAAATTAACAAAATTACAACGTGTTTAAAATGAAATATTTTCAATAATAGTCGATGTGTATATTAACTGTTTTGTTGTTGCAACACAACTGCTTGTATAAATCTTTGTTGTTACCACCATTACCTCCTTTGTTTAAGTTCAATTAAAATACATTCAAACATTTATTAAGTCGGCAACAAAGGTTGTGTTTTGAAATACAATTTTATGTGTTCCGTTTTTAATAAATTTATGTTTTTCTATGTACAATTTGACATGGACAGAGTTGTGTATATTGGTGAATTAAGTTAAGATTCAATTTATGTGGTACTTTAACACTTAACTGACCGAATGTATTCTCGAAAGACATGCATTATAATTTTATGTTCATTATAATCAGTTCTTAGAATTTTAATAGAAATAAAAATAGAAACCAATAACGAATAGTTGTTTATAATAGAATATTACTTATCATTCTAGTTTTACTTTTGCACCTACTCTAATTATAATAATAATATCTAATTGTTTGTAGAAGCATTTGTGGTCTAAGGGCAGAATTCCACCCTTCCAAGGTGGAGATCCGGGTTCGAGTCCCGGCAAATGCATTTTTTGTTTTTCTTAGATAAAAATCAAAATAATACAAACTTGATAATAATATTAAGTAATTTTTTTTAATATTTTTAATAGTTCTGGTTTTAAAGTAACATGACAAAACATGTTTTAATCTGATATTAAATATTTGATTTATAGATCATCCAATTAAAAGGTGAAATCTTTTGTGAAATAATAAGTTTTTTTTATTTTACTATTTAATATAATATTTAATAATATAAAATAATATAAAAATTCCATGATGGAAAAATTAGAAACGATTTCACGAAAAACTCAATTCTTATATACCGAACGATGTCTCAACCTTTAAAAGGAAAACAGAGTAATGCCCGAAAATCTGAATCCGAAACAAGACTTATCGATGAAAAACACAACGCTGCATTTATTCTCGGCATGCAGGCAATCCTTATTTCGCAAGGATATACAATTGTGTTTCACAAGCCTTCCAAAACAAAAACATTAAGTATGAAATTGCTCACTGCATCTATATGGAGTCCAGATAACAGAGAAGTGTTCAATGATCAAGTAAACCAGCTTATTTTTGAGCATAAAAAATCTCTTCTTGCTGGAAATCACACAACCAATAAGCTCAATAGGTTGTATCACGAGAAAGATTCAAATATTAAGAAGTGTTTATGTCAAGCACTTGTTGATACAAACATATTTACCTTCGTCAAAAATGAACTTAGTGTATCACCTTTTACAAAATCTGGATTGTCTCTTAGAACATTTAGTAGGATGCGTGTCGGAGAGGTGGAAAAAACCAAAGAAGAAGTCGAAAGATATGGGACGGGATTATATGGGAAGGTAACTGAAGTCATGTATAAAGATTCCACAATAAGATGTACATTATATCAAGTTGATACAGATCAAAACGATGATTTTAGATGTGTATGTTTACCACCTCCAACTGGAAAGGGTGTGCGTTCAAGTAAAGAAAAAACAGTAGAAGAAAGACCAACGTCATTTGAACATATTAAAAACGAAAGCATCTGTCAATCAACACCTATTTGCGAATTGTGTAATAGTGGTGTTACTTTTACGCTACAAGACAAACCCATTGAAGAAACAGATGTGAAAGAAATGTCTTATTTGGATAATGACATACCAACACAACAACTGCCTCATCAATTCGACACGCAACAATTTCAACAACCTTTCCAGTTCTCTTTCCATTACGCTCCTGAAATACCAAACGATTCTTTTATCCAACAGACAAACCCGCCTTCTTTTGAAAATTGAATTGTTATTATTTTATTAAGTTTTCTAATTAAAAATTTGGAGTTTCTTAAAGTTTTTTAAAAATCATTTAATAAAAAAATAGTTTATACTCAAAAAAGCTACTTATAACCTCGTTATGTTACTTTATTGTTATAACCGTAATGTTTTCTAAAGTTTTGACGCTTACAAACTTTTATTTCATTATTTTCAACACAACAATAATTTTGTATTTATGAAAGAAGAAAATCTAATCAGTGTTTAAAAACAATTAAGATTTTTAACACTCTAAACAACGCAGATTGAACAATTGTTAATTCACTTGTGTAAATCAAATTCACCAATCAAATTGGTACTCTTCAAGTCATCACCAATACACCAACTAACATTCAAAGGTATACAGATAGAGTAATTTATGGGGACAAGAATTAATTGGGTAACAGATTAATTTTAAATAATTTAATAAGTCTTTTATAGAAATTGTTATTTTGTAAAAAAAATAAATAAAAAATAAAAAACCAAATCCCACTTTTTTACATCATTTAATCCTTATTTTTTTCTGTCACCCAATTAATTAAAGATCGATACAATGGGTTTGGCAGTGTAGTTCTTGAGAAGTGTGAAAACATTAAGATAGAAGTCGATACGGCACATGTAATCAAGTTTGTGTCTTGCAGCAATGTGACAATTAGAACAAAGTCAAATTGTAAATGAAAAAGATTGTGCGAATGTTACAATTGATAAAATCAAAAAAAAACAAAGACATTTTCACAAAGGCAGTGCTTTATAATAATTAATATGCGTGTTTTATTTTATTATAAATATTACTTTTGTGTATTCAAAACATTTATTAATATATTAATTTTTATCTATTTCAAGATCCATACTCTTCATATTTGAAAACCTCAAAGTTTTCTACTAAAAAAGCGAAAAAAAGTGGTTCATTTAACTTCTTAAATATGGAATAAAACTATATAAATTATAGTATTAAATCATTTGATATAGTTTTATTGTGATAATTGGGAAGTTAGTGGTTCATTAAAAAGGGAATTCTGCCCAAAAACGTGAACAAAAACTAGAAGATGTCGGGAACCATTTTTAATAACTAAAAACCATAAAAATTTTGAGGGAACTTAAAAGTTCTAGACATGTCGAAGTACTTTGTGTCAAGCCACCGCGGGGAGATTCAGGACCTCCGAGAAAAACTCAACAGCAGTAAAGACGACGTCCGCACCGAAGCGGTCAAACGTATTGTTGCTGCGATGACTGAGGGAAAGGATGTTTCGATGCTCTTTATTGACGTCTTAAAGTGTATGCAGACGAATAAACTTGAGTTGAAGAAGTTGGTGTATTTATACTTAATGAACTACTCTCGAAGTCAGCCAGAGAGAGCAATTTTGGTGGTTAATTCGTTTGTCAAAGACTCGACAGACACGAATCCATTAATTAGAGCATTAGCTATTCGAACTATGGGATGCATTAGAGTACAAACGGTGTTTGAATACTTCTTGGAACCGCTTACAAAATGTTTGAAAGACTCTGACCCATACGTCAGAAAGACTGCAGTCCTCTGTGTTTTGAAGTTATATTGTATGAACCCACAATTAATAGAACAACGTGGATTTGTCGAAACAATTAAAGGAATGTTACTTGATGATAATCAAATGGTTGTTTCAAACGTCATTGCTGTGTTACACGAAATTGGCACCAGTGAAGGCAAAGAGTGGATCATCGACGACAAAATGGTCAGACCACTTTTAAGTGCATTAGACGGAAGTAACGAGTGGGGACAGATATATATCATGGACGCATTGGCAACGTATGGACCGACAGACCCCAAAGAAGCCGAAAACATTTGCGAACGAGTTGCAAATAAAATGACCCATAACAACCCAGCCGTCGTGATGGCTGCCGTTAAAATTGTGTTGAGACATCTTGAAGTTGTCTCGCCACAAATTGCAGAAATGTACTGCAAACGACTTGCACCGCCTTTGGTGTCTATAGTTCTTTCTAATAGCTCGAAACATGATTATGAAATTCAGTACATCACACTCCGATGCATTAACTTGATTGTACAAAAGTACCCCCACCTCTTCTCTGTACAGTTAAGAACGTTCTATTGTTCATACGATGAGCCTATTTATATCAAATTGGAGAAATTGGAGATCATGTTGATGTTGGTCAATGAAACTAATGTGATGGACATTCTAGTTGAGTTGAAAGAATACGCCTTGTCTGCTGATATCGAGTTTGTTAGAAAAGCGGTTCAGGCTTTTGGCCGCTGTGCATTGAAGTTGGACAAAGTTGCTGATCGGTGTGTGAAACAATTAGTTGAGTTGATTGAGTTGGGACAAAACTACATTGTCCAAGAGGCGTGCATTGTAATGAAAGATTTGTTCCGCAAATACCCACAGAAATACCTTCCAGTCATTGCGAAGTTGTGCGACAACTTGAACACATTGGACGATCCAAACGCAAAGGCTGCAATGATTTGGATCATCGGGGAATATAACAAACTCATTACAAACTCTTCTGAATTGTTGTACGACTTTATGAACACTTTTGCGGATGAGCCACTCAATGTGCAACTTGCGCTTTTGACTGCTGCTGTCAAGTTCTTTATCACAAACCCGGAAGCACAAGATTTGGTCCAAAAGGCGTTAACAGAAGCTTCAAATTCACAGTCATTTGATTTGAGAGATAGAGCACACATCTATTGGAGAATCTTGTTCAACCATCCAGAAGAAGCTAAGAAGATCATCAACGAAGACAGAGTCGTCATATCGTCCCAAACACAATACCTCCACTCGACCGTTTTAACTCACTTGATGTCGCACCTTGGAGAATTAAGTGTTGTGTATCAGAAAGTCCCGGCTGCCTTTGTTGTTAAATTGAAAAAGATTGGAGTCAGTTTGAAACTTGATGAAGAGGAGAGTGGAAGCGAAATGTCTGATTTACTTTGCTTCGACGGAGGAAGCTCCAACTTGATTGGAACAACATCAAAGAACGTGTTGGACTTCGACGAAGACTCTGGAAGAAAGGACGGCATGAGCGACGTTTTCGCTGTTGGCAAAGAGAAGATCCAGTTGAACCGACTGACTGCGCTTCCCAAGACACCAACCGACATGAAGGTGAACGCCAGTCTGATAATGGAAGGTGGTAGTCTGTTCTTGCAAATGGAAATTAACAACAACTCTCCGTTGACTATCACTAACTTCCAAATGCAGTTCAACAAAAACGCGTTTGGACTTGTTCCCGGTCAGCTGAACATCGATGCCATCCCACCAACAAAGCGTTGGGGTGCTTTGATTCCAATCGGTTTCATTACACCGGAAGCAGATTGTCCAGTCACCAATCGCCTTGAAGTTGCTATTGCAAACTCCACACAGCAAATTTACTTTTACATTCTTGAGATGCCAGTCAATTTGATGTTCAAAGAACTTGGAAAGGTTGATGTCGGCAATTGCGCCAAATTGTGGAACTCCCTCCCGAACACTGTAACAAAAGAATTCAAAGGCACTGGTGTCGAGGACAAGCTCAAAAAGACTCAGAACATGTTTTTGGTCGCAAACAAAAAGGAAAAAGACGGAGAGAGGCTGATGTACACCTTCAAATTTTTGAACGACTTGGATGTCATGCTTGAGGTCACCACCACATCAAAAGGTTTCAAGGCCGTCATCAAGTGTGTTGATAAAAAGTACTTACCGCTTGTTGTTCGATTCCTTGAAACATTACTCTAATCAACTCGTTGACTTGATACTTATTTTTGTCCAAACAGTATATACATAAATATATATACACATATATAACACAAATGAAACCAATCAGTGAATGTAGTCATAGAACTCTTTTTCTTTGTGTTTCAACACGAACCCTTTCATCCCACCAGACAATATCACAATCTTCAAATTGCTTGTCGCAAAGTACTTCGAAAGCACAAACTTTTCTTTCAGTTTTCGTGCGCAACTTGGGCCTCTCACGACAGATCTCATACAATGAACGACGATGTAATCATATGTATGATATGTTTCTAGTATTTCTGGTATTTTACTAACAAAATAGCCATCTCTATTTGGAATGTTAATAGCACCACGGATCATTCGATCTGATAGATCGCTCCCTCGCACATCTATTATTTGAATTTTGGTTTTGCCGTCTTTCATGAGATGGATGAGTGTCTCGTCATCCATATATTCATCTTCAATTGGAATGCTCATGCGCTTTCGAGTTCTTTTGATTAAAAAATTCAACCATAAATGTGACACTAAATAACACAAAAAACTATATATAATATTATGGTTTTTGAAAGAAGTTCAGCGCCTCTTGAAAAGTGTTACGCTTTTCCTTCGAGTCCTCTACATTCCTCGGCGATGACCGTTCACTTTTCGGCGTGCTCTGCCCCGACCGAGACTCAAACCTCTGCCTGATTTGTAGCACTCGTTTACTCTCAAATTTCTTCGACTCCAAAACTTGTAACTTACTTTCTTCATTAAAAGGGCTTTCACTTTGTTCTTCTCTACTGCTTGGTGTGTTGACTGGAGGCGATTTAATTAATTGTGAAGACGCAAGTCTCGATTGTGTTGGCGATGGCATTATTTTGTGTGTGTTTTTACTGGTCCGACCTGTGAATGAGTTATTAATGTTCGTACTTAAACTAGACATTGGGTATTCAGAGTCACTCAGAGTGGCCATCGTGAGTTGAGATTGTTTCTGGCTATTCGTCATGAACATCGAGTCCGTTCGTCCGAGGTTTCTTTTTGGGGCGTGTCTTCTTGGGGTTTCAATAAATGAACGTGCAAGGTCTTGTGTGATTCTTGGCGATATCTTCGAGTTCTTTTTGTATATCAAGTCGTTAGCATTCGACGGTTCATTTGAAATGGCAATCCCCGAGTTGATTTGCAAGATCGTCGAATTGGGGAGGAAGTCAACTGATGGCAAAAACGGCGTGTATAAGTGATTTTCTTCCGTCTTCATTGTTGGTAAAATGCTTTCCGCGTTCAGTACTAAATACGTCAGAATTCTCTCTGCCAATCCTTTATCAGGCAAATTGTCAAACAACAAGTCGGAGAAACCCTGTGGTGCAGGATTTTTCGTGAACGAGAAAAACAGGGACAAGACCTTAACAACTAACACTGAAATTGGTCGAATCGTCTCAGTCAATTCATGGAACGCTCTCTTAAGTAACTCTATCCGGTCTTCTCTGTCCAAAAAGTCAAACGAAATAAAGTGCTTCGTGTGGTCAGATGATATTAAAGGTTCTCCCAAGCTCTTGATATAACACACAAATATCCCAGCAGTGTCTTTTGGTTCAATGATTCCGTCCTCCTCAAACTGTTTCAAATTGCCCAAAATGTCCTTTCTATCAAAATCGAAGAAGTCCATTCGGGTGAATTCTTTGGAGAGGTACATCACATTAATAAGTTTCTCAAGGCGGACGGGAATGCCCGTTGTGTCACTTTCAACATAAAACCGATTCGTCCCAATCAATCGGACCTTCCTCTGCTTTTTACTGATTTGACAAATCCGTTTCATTAACTCTCGCACCGTGTGGTTCTCCATTTCAATCACAACATTCTGATAAACCTCAATGTTCTCTTTTCCCAAAAATGAAAACTCAATAGTCCCACCCCACGGATCATATCGGAGACTCATGGTCTCGATCGGAAAGACAGAATGAAGGGTCTCCGTTATATACACAAGAACCATGACATCTACTATGACTACATCCGCCCTTTTCCCATCAAACGTCCCAGTGAACGTCGAGAAGAAGCGCGACGATTTGAACCGCAACGAATCATAATCGAGCTCCCCAAGTCCATTTTTAAGCTCGCGGATTGGTATCAGAAAGATGGTGTCGCCATCACTCCATTCAATCTCTTCAAGAGACAACGAAGGTAACATACACCCGCACACTCGATTCGACTTCAGCAAAATTGGATATGACGCCGTCGATGTGTACGTTTGTAGAATCGGGTTTAAATACTCCAATGGAAGGGTTGGGTCCAACGGAATTGTTGTTTGACATAGGACCTTATTGTACTCCAAGACAATGTTGACATACATCACCTTTTGAAGAGCACACACAACAACTTCAGTATCTCTTTCGACTATTTTAATTCGATTCACGGGGTTATTCGGACTGATTGATTCGTTTATACTCTGTCCAGTGTAGAAGATGTATATCTGATGCTTTGACACATCGACCCCAAGTGCGTCATAAAACACTTGAAGGAGTGTACTCGACGTATTTGAGACTGAAACTGTTTTGAGTCTTTTGCCAGGGAAGTGCAGGGTATACCGGTTCACTGACTTCTCTGGGGGAATGAGAGAGTACACTTTTGGTTCAGTCCTCTGGGAGAGTTCGTACGACTCTTTGTCCGACATCGTCAACTCAAGCGCAGCGTCCGAAAGTATCATCGCTCGAATATTAATATCACTAACTATGAGTTGGGAGTATGTTTGTTGGTGCATGAAAACAACTTGTTCGAGTATTTTCGAGATTTGTCTGCACTTCGCAAAGTTAATTAAGTCCCCCTCCTTTGTTTTGTTCCCAAAGTTTGTGAAGGTCAAGTCACTCAAAATTAGACCGATATATGGGACCATTGGGTTTCCAATGACTTTGTTAGTCTCAGCACGCAGAACTTCTTTGTTATTATCAGGAAGAGTTAATGGTTTCAATTTTTTCATGATGTCTTGTGTCTCTTGGTTGAGTCCTTCGAACGTTCTCTTCAATCGATGAATTGCAGACGTACCAAATAAAAGCATGATACACAAAACAGTGTCAAAGTTGTGATAGGTGTAACAGTAATTCGCTATTTGCATCAATCGCTCGACTATTTTGATTCGTTTTTCAACACGACTCTCCGACAATAACATTCGAGTAAAGTGGTTCTGTAGTCCATTAAAGAATTTTTGAATCGACATAATGTTCTGACAAGACTCCTTTTCACTATTCGACCACATCAACATTTCATACAATTTGATTCGTCTGAACATATCCGATGTGATCAAAGTGACTTGTCTTGCATATTCAAGTGGATGTAATAAATTGAATACGCTTGTTTCAATCGAGTGCCCGACTATATCCGAAAACATTGGAATTGAAAACTCTATGTTTCGTTGTGTTTTGAAGTACTCAACTTCGACTCCGTCCATCTAAAGTATTAACATTGAATACTATTAGCAATTAATTTATTAATTATTAATTAATTATAAATAAAAAGAATAAAATTAGAGACAAACAACTCGTTGGTAACATGAACGTATCAAATCGTGTTCTCTAGTCATCCCATAATTCTTCAATCTTTTCAAAAATTCATACATGATGTCATCGACATTTTTCTCGTTTGATTTTATCACGTTCCATATATTTTCAATCCAATACTTAAGCGCACTAACTACTCGAGCTCGTACTAATAAACTTTTCTTGTTGTCATCGTTACATGCTACGTCGTGGTTGAGAAACATACTCCGTAACATCTCCTCCGTCGTGCAATACCCAGTGTATGTCCACACAAAAGCCTTCATGGAACCATTTTTCTCGTCATTACAAAATGCTTGAACGAGTCCAAAGACATTGCCTTTCATAATTTGGTTATCTTTGTCTTTTTCAATTTTCCCTGTTTCAGTGCAAATCACATTGAGTGTAGTTTTGGTGTCCTTTTTCGCAACAGTAAATTTTTTGCCTCTTTGAAACTCTACCTCTCGAGACAGGCGAATTTGAAAACGCTGTTCACTCACAAAATTTCGTGGAGACAACATATAACCCATTAACGTTTCACTGGGCTTCACACATATAAACGTCCCACGTGTTTCGTTGCGCAGGTGGTTGAAATGGGTTGTATCGTATAACAAATGGGACATTAACGCTCTCAATTTTTAGTTCTTATTAATAACAATTATTATTCTTGTTTTTTGTGGATTTCGCTTCTCCCAAAGATTGGAGTTACATTTGAAACTTTTTTTCTGTTTTACTGATTTTAGTGAAGTTGTTTGATATAAAAAATAGAACATCTTGACAAAGATTTATTCGATTTATTAATTTTTACACATTGAAATTGTACAGAAAAAGAGATGGAAAAAAACTGTTTCGGGTTTATTAATATTTGACCCAACTTTTTAATTTTTATCTTTCTTCAAATTGTTTAATATTGTTAATTAATTATAAAAATTTTTTGAAGTAATATTTTAACAAAATTTATAACTGTTTTAATACTATAAATGTATTAAATCACAAAAATAATAATAATAACAAATAATAAATGTTATATTTCAGTTAGTGAATAATAATTATTATAATAATTTGTTTTTAGTATAGATATAATACATTTTTCATTTTTTTTGCTAAATTAAAAATTAAAAATTATCGAGAAAATAGTTAAAAAATTATTAACATATTATTGAATTATACTATTTAATACAAACAAAAGAATTTAACTTTTATTGATTGTACAAATGAAAAATTTACAAACTAAAATATATAAATTAAACTACTAGTAACACACTCAGACTACACGACAGTCCAACTTTTCATAATCTGATATCATCCACTTAAACTGTTTGTCTCCGTAGTTTATGAACACCTTTTTGAACGCGCCAAGAGCAATTAATGCGTTCACTTCTTTCCACTTAACTACTGTTTTACTCACAATCTTTCCCTCGTACGTAAAAAAGATAGTGTGCTTTTTAATATCATACCCACACCCAACAGTGACTGTTCGATCTATGTCATTACCATAATCTAAAGCCCTTTCTTGACGAAAGGAGTCAACCCACACCAAACCATCATCAGAATGATACCCAACACTCCCATCTTCCCATCCTACATGAGTGTCCTCATAATAATCGTTGTCGTAATTCTCCCCATCACAACACCCAAAACTCATTTCACTAAATCCAGTAACTTCCAACTCAAAGTACCTCAAGCTTTTGATACCAACCGACCCTTTAGGCGTCTTAAAAGTCTGCGTCTGGTTTTTGTTATCTTCACAATAGAAGTACTTACTGACAACCATGTCTGCAGTTGTTTCATCTGTGTCGAACGGGTTCACACGGAGTATCTCTCTATTGACAACGACCAACTTTGTTGTTTGTGGCAAAAATTTGTGGACTCTGAATTTTGTCAAGTCGCTTCTGTAATTCGGGTATTCAAATAGCACTTCCATCGCACGAACCAATTCATTGAAGTCTTTACCCATGAACTCAATTGGGTTTGAATTTTCAAATGATATCTCCAACGACTGTGCAATGTATATAGTCTTGTGTTGAAAATCAATTTGAGGCAAATCAATGGTGAAACACCCCCTTATATTGATTTCTTTGATATCTCCAACTCCAACAAAACTCACCGCTTTGCTCTCATCAATTTTGAGGTATTCAAGAGCACTCAGATCGATGTCAAATGTTACTGAAAACACACTTTCTAATACAACTTTCTTGAGTGATAGAAAAACACATTCTTTGCCAAAAAGGATGTTTTGGCAATTCGAAAGTGTGAGACTTGAAATGCCAAACACTTTGTGGAACGACAATTGGAGACAATTATTGAGGCTGAAAGATGTCACATCTGGAAACTTATAATGCACTTCATTGAATTGTTCTGTCTGATTTGAGTTGTTATTTGACCATATCCCAACTGAATCAACACAAGAAGGCACTGTCCACTCGTTGAGTAAATTGCTTGGGTTAATTATTAACGCACTTATTGCACACGTTCGTTCAATACAATCGTTGGTCTTTTCGTTTTCAATATTTCCGTCGATGAGTAAAGTCCCTTTTGTACAAATAACGTTTTTGCATGCCTTTTCACTATCCGAACACACAAGGGTGTCGTAACATATGTTGATCTTTTTAAACGCATTAAAGAGTGTCCCTGTTTGGGGGTCGTGGTTTGACACAATAACATAAATAGATACTCTATTGTTGTCTGGAACGCATTTTTCCAACCTTTCAAGTAGTACCAAATTCTCGTAATTTCTCTTAATTAGGTTTTTCCCATTTTTATTCAACACAACAAGGTTCGGGAGATGAAGGTACTTTTCGTTTCCGTGTTCGGTGTACTTTTCAAAGAAACAAACTGCCATTTTAAGGTCACCAGCGAAATGATAGAGTGAAGTGAAGTATTCGGAATGCTCGATTAAGAACTCGTTGAATTTTGTTCGTTTATCGTTTTTATCATCGACCATGACCAATCGCGTAACCTTAGGAAAGATGTTCTTTGCAAAGGTTTCAGTCAATTGCCCTTTCGTGTAAACACAGAAGAAGTCCGTATTCCGAATTTGTTTGACTTTATAAAACAAATCGAAGCAGTTAAGATTAATAAGAGGGCTGTCGAATGTTTCTGGTGTGAAGTTTTTGAAGAACCACACAACAGAGACTTCGTTAGTAAAAAAAGGGTTAACTTTAAGTGCGTTAATCGCCTCAAGACAGTGACGACTGATCATCAGAAAGTCTCTGAGATGATTATGTGAATTAAATCGAAGTGCGACTTTCATTAGGTAAATCATCTCAAGCTTTACCATTTCTTTTTTCAAGTTTATTTTAATTAAATAAAATTAGATATAAGTATTATATTTATTATTACGAATTTATTCACTTTGCACTTAAATGAATGTAAAAACTAAAAGAATGTTAAACTAAAAAAGTAAGAATCGTAATTTAGAAGCACTTTCTGTGGACGATGGCTGGGCCAGACTCGTCGTACTCTTCCTTGGTGATCCACATGTTCTGGAAAGTGGACAATGAGGCAAGAATTGAACCTCCGATCCAGACAGAGTACTTTCTCTCTGGTGGAGCAATG